GAAGTTCAGGGTTGCTTGCACAGTGGTACGTCTGAACAAGAAGGCTCTAGTCACAAGGTAAAGGAGCCTGAAGCAAGGACGGCTAGCGGTTCTTGAGCATATTGATAAAGATAGAAAGTGAAAATCAAAGGAGATGAGAATGTGAACTGGCTTGGAGGATGTCGATTAGCTCATTCGGCACAGGGAGGAGATCCATAGCGCTAGGGGTCCCCCTGCTGAGATTGGGGAGAGGCTGCCTGGGGCCAGGAGGCCAAACTGTGCCACCCATGTGCAAGAATAACAGTGCAGGACCGCTCCTGTGGGACCAGGGACTTGGGGGCAGGTGCAGGGGCCCCTGGAGGCTCCAGGTGCTCCGTGGAGCAGGGATGATGTGCTGTAGGGCAGAGTGGCAGGGCACGGAGTGGTGCGGCCTGGGCAGAGGCGTGAGGGGAGCCCCAGGAGAGACGGAAACAGAGCAGTTAAGTTTGGCTGACAGCTGGTCTCTTGAGGTCAGCCCCTTTAAGGCTACGACCAGCCCATGACGCAGGCATCCCTGCCCCATTTGATGGGGATGGAAGCTGAGGCCCAGGAGCTGCCCTTTCAGAAGCCAGGTCTCTTTGACCTGAGGGCTGTCTCAATGCCAAGGTGGACAGTCCCCTGACCACCACCACGCTGGCCCCAGTGACTGCTGGAGCTAGGCTGCCCCTTTGATTTGGGTGTCTGGGGTGGACATTTGTTACAGCCGGGGTGCTCGGGGGACTGGCTTGGGTCCTGATGCCACGTCTGCCCCGGGTTCAAATCAACCAAGCCTGGCCAGCATCCTCAGCCTGGCCCACCCTGCCCACAGCCACGTGGCTGACGGGATTTCCGCCATGTTTGAGGCATGAATTGACAAGTGCACCATTGACGGGGCAGGGAGGGGGTGGGCAGGGCACAAGCCTCCCACTGTGCCGTGTCCCCACCCTCCCCCGTCCCACAGGACAATGGCCGAGACTCAGCCAGCAGCCACAGCTGGTGGGGGGGGATGCAAGCATGAACAGGAGGAGGGGCGGAAGGGAGGGGTCCGGGTGGAGGGACCACCTGGGCCCCCGCCTGCTCTCATCCCACACCTGGCTTGAGTCCCCTTGGCTTCTCTCTTGCCCAGCTGGGTGGCCTTCAGGAGAAGAGAGGAAGGGCCCACCTTCCCACAGTCCAGACCCAGCCTGCCCAGGAAGGGGCCATGTCTGGCTCCTGTTCAAGGCAGGTAATAAAAAGCTAATTAACGAGGAGCAGCTGGGGTGCATGGCGGTACCTCCCGAGGCCTGTGTAGCCCCGGGCCCTGCCACAGCCTGGCCTGGCTGGGCTCCCCACACCCCTTTCCCAGTCTCCTCCTTGCTACTTGGCTCCTCTGTTCCTCTTTATTTTGTTAGATTCCCACTGTGTGCTGGGAAGTTTATGTCCTGCGGAGACAGAGTAGGGCATCATGTAAGGCCCAGCTCCGGCCCCTGGGAGCTGCAGGCAAGCTGCCCGGCCTTTCTGAACCCCCATTTCTCCGTCTGTAAAATGGGCATTATTTATCACATTATAAAATGTGATAAATATGGATAAATATATAGATATGAATATTGTCCGTGCAGAGTGGGTGCTGTAGGCTGAGTGTGGGGTGGCCGCTTGGGGTGAGCTGGGAGTAGTGGTGGTGGTGGATGGCACTCACACCACCTGGGGAGGGCGGAGTACAGAGGACAGTGAAAAAGCCTGGTAAGTGGGTAGAATGGGGGCTGCCTTGAGAGAGAGAGAGAGAGAGAGAGAGAGAGAGGTGCACTCTCTGAAACTAGAGAGTGAGTACAGTCAGCTTTCTCTGGTGGAGGGAATAGCATGTGCAAAGGCCCTGGGTCGGGGATGTGTTTGTCCTACAGGGAGGGGACTGGGGACAGGAGAGGGGAAGGCAGGAGGCCGCTCATGCCCTGCCCCGGGATTCTGGGCCAGCCCTCCCTCTGCAATGGGAAGCTGTTGAAGGATTTGAGGCGGGGGTGGGGGTGGGGGGGAGTGCGGAGAGTGGCTGGCTTGTGACCTCATGGTGTCACTTACTGGCTATGGGGCCCGGGGCGGCCTTGCCCCAGACTGAGAATCTGTGCCCCACGCTCAGCCTCCTGGCTGGCAGGGACCTGTTTTTGGGATCCAGTGCTGTGTTAGGGCTCTCTGGGAGAGCAGCACCCTCGAGAGTGTGCCCAGGGGTCCCTGCCCCCCTCCTGACTCCCGGGGGGGGGGTGGCCTCTGCTTCTGCCTTAAGAATTCCTGGGCTCCAGCAAAGCTCCACCCCCGCCCCTGCTCCTGGCGTGTTTACTCGAAATCTCTGGGGTGGTTCCCGGGGCAGGCTGGGGGCCGGCCCCGTGAGGACGGGAAGCACAGGGAGAAGATGAGGCTGGCCTCGAAGGCTTCCAGGGAGAGAAAGGTGTGGGGTCTGCATCCCTCAGAGGCCCCCCCCCAGCTCTCCGGCTCCTCCCTGCTCCTTGGCCCACCCCCTCCCTGCTCCATCCGCTCCCTCCTCCCTCTTCCGTCCACCCCGTCCCTGGCACGAGAGGGTCCCTCCTCCCCCCAACCACATCTGGTTCTTGTTAGGGTCTCCCAGGATGCCTCTGCCTGAGGCCCCCCAACCCCCGGGGAGGTGGGCCAGAGGATTAGGGGTGATTAGGAGTGCTCCTGGCCAGGGGAGGAGGAGGAGGAGGAGGAGGAGGGGAGGGGGCTGGGCCTGTTATAAATAGCAGCTCAGGACTTCCCGGGCCCATCCTTCACTGTAGATGCCAAGTTCAGTCTCAGAAACCTGCAGCTCCCGCAGCCAGGGTGGGGGTGACGCTGCAGAGCCCCCGTCCTCCCTGCTCGCTGTGCCTGGTTGGTCCTCCCTCAGGAAAGCTCATCCCCTTGGAGTCAGGCCCCTTTGCCTGGGTGTGCGTCCTTCCTGCTGTGTGGCCTTGGGCAAGAAACGCGACCTCACTGAACACCAGGGATGGTGGCAAGGTGGGAGCCCTCACAATGATTCAGGGCCTGGTAGGCACGCAGTCACCGTGAACCTCCATCCTGGGGACCATCCTTGTCCCTGTCGAGAGCTGAGAAGCACCGGTAGGCATTAGATGAGCTGTTGTCACCATCGTGGTTCGGTCGCATAGCAGGAGCTTGCGGAATGCGTTGGACATAACAAACTTCCCGTGTTTTCTTTAAAGATTTATTCACTTATTAATTGAAGGTGTGGGGGAGAGAGAAAGAGATCTTCTGTCTACTGGTTCACTCCCCAAATGGCAATGGCCAAGGGCTGGGCCAGGCCGAAGCCAGGAGCCTGGAGCTTCATCCAGATCTCCCATGGGGGTGCAGGGGCCTAAACACTTAGGCCATCGTCAGCTGCTTCCCCAGGCACACCAGCAGGGAGCTGAATCAGAAGCAGAGCAGCCAGGATTCGAACTGGGGCTCTGATATGAGATGCCAGCATCACCATCAGTGGCTTAATCTGCTGTGCCACAGCACCAGCCCTTCCACGGTTATTGATGTATTTGGCTCCAGAAGTGCCCAGCACACAGTAGGCGCTCAATAAATGGCAACTGTGGTTTCTATGGGAGTAAGGGGGTGGGGGCCCTGTGCAGAGACGAGTCCCGGCACCTCGACATGCACATGGTCACTTCTGGCTCCCAAGGTTTCTGCCCTGTCCACTCGGGACCCTGGACAGCCATTGGTGGTGCTCAGTGGGTGTCCCCTGTTCCCACTGGGTGAGCCGGGGGATGGGGTCAGCAGGAGAGCCCTGGCCTGTCGCAGGCAGCGCGTGACTCCTAGGAGGGCTTAGCCGCTCATTAATCACCTAAGCGGGGCTCAGCATTCTTGAAATGCCGGCTGGGGCCAGGAGGGCCTGGGCCAGGGGCTCCCGGGGACCCCAGGGCTCTGGAGCCAGGAAGTGAGGCCAGGCACTCCATTTGCCGAGCACCCACCAGGTACAAGGTGCTTTACGGACCTTTATGGACATCCATCACAACCGTCCTGTGAGACTTAGCTGTTCATGGCCCCATTTTACCAATGAGGAAACTGAGGCTCAGAGAGGGCAGGGGACCCTCCCAAGGTCACACAGCAGGAGTGGCTGAGCCGGAATTTGGTCCTGGACCTGGCTCTGTGCCCAGGGTTCATCAGGGGAGGGGCACAAGATGCAGACCCCAGACCCCGGCTCTAGAGGCTGATGGGAGGGGCCCTCTTGCCTCAGTGGGGCTGGCCAGCCTGGGTCAGCAGTGTGGGTGGGGCTGTCGCATTATCAGACTTGACGCATCTCCCACGTCAGCCCTTTTATCACCCCGCCCTCCAGCTCCCCATGCAAGGTGACCCTGGGTGGGAAGAGGCCAGCGCCTCCCCCTCCTGCCCTCGGGGTGCCCAAGAGCCCTGTGCTGCTGTTCCTGGGAGTCCCTCCCCTTCCTGGGGCCTGGGCCAGCAGGGAGGGCCCAGGAGGAGGTGGGCAGGTGGAGGGGCGGGGCTGTGACTGCCCTCATTCCCCACTGTGAGGCCAGGGCCAGGGCAAGCACAGGGAGGCGGGACACTCTGGATTCTGGTCCCCACAGGAGATCCCTCCCCCCAGGATGTGAGGTCCCAGCCAGCCAGGCCCCCTGCCCCTGTGTGCCCCACACTGGACTGCCTGGGACTGATCACCAGAAAACAGGGCAGGATAGCCCTGCTGGGTCTGAGCCAGTGATGGTGGTGGCACCCACTGGACACCGCATTTGCTCCTCGTGGCGTCCTGTAAGACAGACAGCAACCGTGGTCTCCAGATGACAGGAAGGGCCCTGCCCGGCCACACAGCTAGACATAGGAGTGTGGAGGGGCAGGAGTGGCTGTGTCCCCAGCTCCATGCTCGAGGACTCTCTCATCTCTCTCGAGGTGGCCTTGTGGGCCAAGGACCGTTCCTCACCTCTACACAGAGGGGAAGGAATCTGGGCAGGGATGCAGGCGGGGCCCAGGGGCCTGGGAGTGTCCCGGGAGGCAGCCCCCTGCCCAGCTCACCGCCTGCTCCGCCACAGGCCACGACATCAACGGTGCCCTGGAGCCCTCCAACATCGACACCAGCATCCTGGAGGAGTACATCGGCAAGGAGGATGCCTCTGACCTGTGAGTGTGAGGGCAGGGCCGGGGGGTGCACGTGGTCCCCTCCTCCGCACGCAGCCACTGACACCTCTGCCAGCTGCCCAGGTCCCTGTGGGAGGGGGTGCCCCGGCTGCCTCTCTGGGGGCCCTGGGCTCCTGACTGGGGCTGAGCTGCCTCCCTCCTCTGCAGCTGCTTCCCAGACATCTCTGCTCCAGCCAGCGCCGGTGCCTACCCCCATGGGCAGTCGGCGATGCCCGGCGCCAGTGGGGTCCACCACCTGAGCCCCCCCGGGGGTGGCCTCTCCCCAGGGCGCCATGGGCCCCTCCCACCCCCAAGCTACGGTGCCCCGCTCAACTGCAACAACAACAACGGCCTGGGTGCCGGCCCCAAGCCCTTCCTCGGGGGCTCCGGGCCCCCCATCAAGGCAGAGCCCAAGGCTCCCTACGCCCCAGGGTGAGTGAGGGCAGCAACAGGGTGGGGCTCGGGGGGAGGAGGCAGGGCCCAGGGGGCATGGGCCTGGTGGTGGGCAGGGCCGTGCGTGCGTGCGGGGAGATCAGGGGCCAGGCCCAGGGGTGAGCGCGTGGGCTTTGTCCCAAGGCAGAAGGCAGCCACCAGTGCTCTGAGCGGGGAGTGATGAGGGCTGACGTAAGTGCTAGAAAAATCTCTGAGAGTGCTGGAGAGTGGACAGGAGGGGGTGAGACTGGAGGCCACGGCTGTTTACATTTATGGGAACACCTGCACACACGTGCACACCTGCAGGACACCTAACGCACGTGCCCTCAGCCCACGTTGACCATGGCTCGGGGGTGGGCTCTCAAGGTCCTCCTCCCCCAAGCAAATCTGCGGAGCCCAGAGCTCATCCTAGTGAAGCCTCGCCCTCCCAGTTCCTTCCCCTTGTCTCCTTGGGGGCCCACACCAGTGGCCTGACCCAGAGCTGAGCCTTGGATTTGACTTTGACCAAGGGGTCCAGGTGGTCCCCAGCCCAGGGTCCGGCTTTTGGAGAGGAGTTCGGAGAAAGCTCTGGGTTCCCCGGTCTGGGACGGGGGAGCAGGGGCCCTGTCTCTGGGTGGGAGAGGAATGAAGTGCAGAGATGGGAGCAGTGTTCAGACAGCCCAGCCCCGCTGCAGCCACCCCACCCCACCATTTACGGGTCCTCCATCAGGGCCTCAGTTTCTTCCTCTGTAAAGTGGGCCTCCGAGGAAGTGCCAGGTGGACAGGGGCCACTGATGTGTTGTTGTCCCAGGACTTTCCTAGTCCACAGCTTGGGGGGGACCACGGTGGAGGCCGTGCTCGGGGGTGCCGGGGCGAGCCTTTGCTGCGGAAGGAGACTGTGTGCTTGAGGCCAGGAGGCTGTCCCCAAGCCACAGACAGAAGGGAGAGAGAACACGGAGGCAGGACCCACGTTGTGACGCACCTGCTGAGTGCCACTGCTATGCCACTCGCCTCTGTGTGTGAGTGCGGCAGCCTTCTCCAGGAGCCGCCCCCGGGGCACCCCGAGGCTCAGGGAGAAAGGGGCTTGTCCAGAGCCGCTCAGGGAGGAGGCCCCTGCGGTGGATGACACCCAGGACAGACACGTCCCTACTGCCAGGGCCCCAGCCGCCTGGCTGGGAGAGATCTTAATCAGTGGCTCTGCAGACGGAGGGATGGTGAGAAGTGAGAGGCGTTTATGAGGAAAGAACACAGTTCTGCAGACTTTGATTGCAGGGACTGGAGAGAGAGGGGTGAGAAGACCTTGATCCCTTCGAGAAACCCAAGGCCATTATCAGGGAAGTGCAGAGAGCAGGCAGGAGAAGGCCTGGAGTGGGGCAGGCCCGAGGCTGTGGTGAGGAGTGGTGGCCCCGTCCGCCTGTCGGTGTTGTCCTCACACAATCTGGGGAGGGCCGGATTTGTGGCTCTGTGGGTGTGTGCGGCTTGCCTGGGGATGCGCTGGGACTGTGTCCCTGACAGCTCAGGTGGCCTCACAGGGACCAGGATGGCCAGAGGGCTGGTTTCCCGGTGTGTCCACCCCTCCCCCACCCCTCGCTGGGCGAGCAGGGTTCACGCAGGACGTGTTGACCTCTTGGGGTTGAGTTTGTTCTTTCTCCTGAACCACTGATAAAACGAAACTTGCAAGGAAAAAATAACCCCAGGCCTGGCAGAGCTGGCTCCCCGCCCAGCCCACACCTGCCTCTGGCAGGGCAGCCCCCCAGTGACCGGCTGAACCCCCCAGGCTCCAGCACCCCCAGGGTCCCACATTCCCAGGAAAGTGTGGGGCTTCGGTGGGTACAGGAGGGGAGGAGCAGGCCTGGGCTTCCGGTCTGGGAGGAGGGTCCTTGGATCCCAATGCCATCACCAGGGGGCTTGGTTTCTGGCCCCCAAATGCCCAGTAGATACAGAGGCTCCTGTGCAGCCACAGTCCAGACCCTGATGGGCCCCCCAAGGTGGATGGTTCAGAGACATGCCCCCCGAGAGTGGATGGGAGGGGATCTCCATTCCTCAGTGCCTGGGGGGTCTCAGGGACCCTCCCTGGCAGAGGAGCCACCAACAGCCCCTTCCCCTGGCTCCACAGCACCCTGCCAGACTCTCCCCCAGACTCGGGCTCTGAGGCCTACTCCCCCCAGCCAGGTGAAATGGTGAATTTCGGGGGGGCACCCGCCTTCCCCCTCCTGGGGGTTTGGGCAAGGTGGGTTGGGGGCGGCCCTTTTTCGGAGGAAGGAAGGAAAGAGGGGAGGGGAGGGAAGGGAGGGAGGGGGCCAGCGGCTGCCCAACGGGCTAGATTATCGCTGGTCAAATACTCCCTGCGCTGGCTATTGTTCCCTACGGGCGGGCGGGTGGCGAGCCTGGCCCTGCCTCTGAGCAAGTGTCCCTGCCGGTGATGCCACCCGCCTGCCCGCCTGCGCCATCATGGACGCGCCCTTCGGCGGTAAGTGGACGGCTGGGGAGGGCCGTGGGCGCAGCCCTGCCCACCTCGCCTTAGGGGGCTGCTCAGGGGTGCCACGGCCCCCAAGTGGCCAAGAGCAGAATGGCCATGCCGCCAGCTCCCCACAGCCCCAAGGGTCAGGAGTTCTGTTTATCTTACCAAAAACACGCCTGGAATGCCTCCTGGGGAACAAAGGGAGCTAGGGCCTCCCCCCTCCGACTGGGGGGCTGGCCCCTGGGAGCCTGGTAGAGGGGCTGCTGGAGGGAGGAGGGCCAGCTGGGCTCTGTCGGGACTGGGGGTTTCTGACGTCCAGAGGAGGGGGGTTGGGGTACCTTAAGACTGAAGACCCGCACAGGGAGGCCTGTGGGAAGGAGCTAGCTGGTGTGGGACGAAGGGCCCCCTACCTCTGGACAGAGTCTCGCTTCCCTGCCCAGACCCCTGGTGGCTACCCTCAGCTGCCCAACCTCACTCCCACCTGGGTAGATGGGAGGGCAGCCCCTGGTTTGGCTCAGGAGGGGTGGGAACAGGATACCCTGCTTAAAGGGCATGGGTGCCCAAGAACCTGAGTGAGGTTGGTCTCTGACGCCTGCCCCCATCTCTCCCACAGACCCCCATCTCCTGCGGACGATAACCCCCGAGACCCTGTGCCATGTGGGAGTGCCCTCCCGCCTGGAGCACCCACCCCCACCTCCAGCTCACCTGCCAGGCCCCCCGCCACCCCCGCCACCTCCACCTCACTACCCTGTCCTGCAGCGGGACCTGTACATGAAGGCTGAACCCCCGATCCCCCCGTATGCTGCCATGGGGCAGGGGCTGGTGCCCACGGATCTCCACCACCCCCAGCAGTCCCAGGTGCTGCACCAGCTGCTGCAGCAGCATGGAGCTGAGTAAGACCTGGGCTGCCGCTTCCCGAGGCTGGGGAGATGGGATGGGGGCAGGAGATGGGGGGGCTGGGGCAGAAAGCTCTACATAGAGGATGGGGGGGTCATGTGCCCTGGGGGGTTTATGGCCTCAGCTAATTATCTGGTGGGCACAGTCTGATAAACTGAGGTCTCGAGAGAGGGAAGTGGATTGCTAAGACAGTGGAACTAGGGAGGGGCAGAGCTAGGACTGGAACCAAGGGTGGTCTTTGTAACTGCCGCCAGTGACTTGCGGCTATCTAGAGGAGGCCCTGGCTTCTGTAGGGGCCACCTGACTCCACCTGTCGTTTTACCTGGTTCCATGCACAGTGGAGTTCAAGGAGAGATTCTGTCAAAGCATCTTGTAAACCAGAAGGGGAAGGGGTGCAGTCGGCCCCCCAAGGAGGCAGTCCTGCCCCACCTTTGGTAGCCTAGTCTGTCTGTGGCTTGTTTCTGACCCACCGAGGCTGCTGTCCATAGAAACCCACTATGGGGTGACACTGACATTGACACAACAAGGATGGGACCGGCTTATGGATTGTGCAGACACCTGCTGGGCCCTTTGCTGGGCCTGATGGAGAGGTGGCTCCTGCCCTCCAGAGCGCCACTGTCTGGGGGGTCAGGGAAGAGTGTAGACAGCGGAGATCGGCAGCACTGATGATGGGGGAGCTTGGGGGAGGGGAGGAGGCACAGCCTGAGCGCTTCCTGTGGGACATGTGCTCTGGCCTGCGCGTAACCAGCCAACACTGGGTGCAGAGGTGAGCGTTGTGTGACTGCTCAGTGGGAGAGGGCTCAGGGGAAGCCAGCCCCCACGGTGTACCTGTGTGTCTCCCCAGGCTCCCCACCCACCCCTCCAAGAAGAGGAAACACTCTGAATCGCCTCCCAACACCCTCAATGCCCAGATGCTGAATGGGATGATCAAGCAGGAGCCTGGCACTGTGACAGCCCTGCCCCCGCACCCCGCAAGAGCCCCGTCCCCACCTTGGCCTCCCCAGGGTCCGCTTTCACCTGGCCCTGGCTCCTTGCCCCTCAGCATCGCCCGGGTCCAGACTCCACCTTGGCACCCACCGGGTGCACCCTCACCAGGTATATGGCTGGCCAGCCCTTCCAGGTGGGGCGGGGGGCCCAGGGCGAGGGTCCGCATGGGCATTCCTTCTCTCTAGGTCTTCTGCAGGACAATGACAGCCTCAGTGGCTCTTACCTGGACCCCAACTACCAGTCCATCAAGTGGCAACCGCATCAGCAGAACAAATGGGCAACATTGTATGATGCCAACTACAAGGAGCTGTGAGTGACGCTTGCCACTGGTCACCTCTCCCTGTTGAGATCCTAGAGCAGGCCTGGGAGCACACTGGGTCCAAGACAGGCCCATTTTACAGGAGAGCAAACAGGCTCGGGCATCCTGGGTATTGGGCCAGCCCCAGGCCTCCCTAAGAAGGTTGTGTCTGCCAGGGAGGGGCCGCGGGCGCCAAGTCAAGGAGAAGTGGGTGGAGGGGTGTTCGCTGGCTCCTCCTGTCCCTCCTCCTCCCCCTCCTCCTGCATTCCAGGAAGGTAGCAGGAAGTTGAGTGTAAGCGGGCCCTTCCAGCAGCCCTCTCCCTGCAGGAGGGAGGAGGGGTGGGGGAGGACTGGGTCATAGGCTGCCTGGGCATTCCTAGCCCTCCCTCTAAACCCATATGGATTCAGCTTCCCAGGCCGCAGGCCAGGAGCCCTGTGGGCACCACCCCCTGCTCCCCCAGAAGCCCAGGCCGGTGAAGGGCGACTCCCCTCGATCACTTTGGACGTTGTCCATTGTGGGCAAGGTGGCTGGGGCTTGGGCCGACTCACAGCCGGTGAGTCTGGCCTCCTGGAGTCAGGCGTCCCAGGCTGGGTGGGGTTCTTAGCCACCAGCTGGGGTGGCCGAAGGGTCCTGTGAGGTCCTGCCTGGGTGTGGGGCTGAACCCGGACAGGAACCTCCTACTCCCACCTCTATACTCCTGGGCCAACCCTGCCACTGCAGGTCCCAAGGCCAGGAAGCTGGCAGCTGAGGCCTGCAGTATGGCCTGGGCACTCCTGGGTGCTTTGCTAGGTCTGGCGGGTGGCCTGAGCCTCATGGGGCAAGGAGGTGGAGAGCCCAGGCCTTCCTGAAGTCCCTGAATGCTTCTTCCCACGAGTTGGAAGCATTGCCCTTGCCCAGCTTGCCCAGGGCAGGCACCATGCGTGCTTGGGAGTCTGGGAGAGGGTGGACTCAGCCACCGGCCAGTGAGTGCCCTCTTTGCTGCCATCTGGAGGTCCCAAAGGGGCCAGGCTTGGGACACTGACCCCATCAACAGTTGGGCAAACAGGCTGAGTGAGGAGCAAGCGCAGGACTCCCCTCTCCCTACCTGGGCAGACAGGAGGAGTCAGGATGAGAGTATTTGGGGGCCCTGAGCAAGCTGGTGGGCAGAGGCTGGGTGTGCGGCAGAGCCGGCGCCTGGTTCCACCGTTTCCAAGGCAACCGGCTGTCAGGCAGGGTGAGACTCTGCAGACCTGGCCCCTCTTGCCCCGACCGGGACGGAGGAAGGGGGCTTCAGACATTGTTCTGGGATGGAGCCAAGTGTGGTGAGGGGCCGCCAAGCCCCCTCCTGAGGAGTCCCCTTGGTGGCCTCCAGGGTCTTGCCCTATGATCCCCATGACCAGGGCAGGGCAGTGGCCCCAGGCACGTGGAGGACAGGACATTGGCCAAGGACTTGGCAGACCCGGCTGTTCCTGGGCTGTGGGGGCAGCCCCATGCGGTTTGAGGGTGTGGGGTCCAGGGTAGAAGCCTGACTGGGACGCAGGCCTGGCCTGGGGGCTCCAGGTGACTGTCCCCACCTGTCCCGCAGGCCTATGCTCACGTACCGCGTGGATGCTGACAAGGGCTTCAACTTCTCGGTGGGCGACGATGCCTTTGTGTGTCAGAAGAAGAACCACTTCCAGGTTACGGTGTACATAGGCATGCTGGGGGAACCCAAGTACGTCAAGACGCCCGAAGGCCTCAAGCCCCTCGACTGCTTCTACCTGAAGCTGCACGGCGTCAAGGCAGGTCTGGGGCTGGGTGGGGAGGGAGGCCCGGGGGCCAGGCTGGGGCTGGGGGCTGGCATTGAAAGCCTTCAGTGGCTGCACTTTCCTGTGGCTGCGCCCCTAAAGCTCTGGCTCCCCAGCTCGCTCCTGCCTCTTGTTCTGTGTCCCTCTCTGCCTCGCGTCCCCCAGGCCGACATCCCCAGACAAGACCCATCTCCTGTCTCTGTGATTGGCTGCCTCAGCTCCCATTCCCAAACTAAACTCCCTGCAGCTTGCCCCTCCCCTGGGCTCCTTCCTCAGGGGACAGGGTGCCAGGGTCCTGGGTGCCGGCGTCTTCTTGCCCCTATTATTGTGCACCTGGCTGTGCTGTCCCCTCTTCGCCTCCCTGCTGCCTCTCCCGTGGCCCAGGTCATTGCCCTCCTTACCTGAATGTCCACTGCAGCTTCCACTCTGGCCCCAACTCCTGCCCCACCTGAGACTTGGGGTTCATGGCACTCTGTTGTTCAGAGACCCCCACCCAGGGCTCTCCCAGTATAGCCCTGGCGTCTAAGTTGAGCCCACAGGGACCTGGAACCCAGCCTTTCGCTCCAGCCTGGCCACTTGCTGTGCTGCAGCCTCTCAGCCCATTCTCTGTCCCCACCCCCACCTTCCCTCTCCTGGGGACACCCTCCCAGTACCCCAACACATCCCCTCCTGGCTGACCCCACAGGGCTGCCCTCCTAGAGGCAGCTGGGCCGGGTGTGTGCTGAGTGTGAGTGGGTGTGCTGGGGTGTGGGTGGGGCTGGCTGCAGTGGTGGGAGTGCGGGAGGATGGGGGTTGAGAGGGTGTTTGTGTGGTATAGGGGGCGTCTAGTGTGCCTTGTTTGCATCCCTGTGCAGAAGCCAGGAGAGCCGTGCACTCGGAGGGGGATGTGGAAGCCATGTATTTGCTCGAGGTGGGGAGGGAGGGTGTGTTTGGGGGGCAGCTCTATAGGAGAAGCTGCTTGAGTTTGTGGGGAGTGGGCTGAGAGGCGGCGGAGGGTAGGACTGGGAGTGGCAGGGGTGACACCCTGAGGTGCAACTGGGCTCTGTCCTCGCCAGCTGGAGGCCCTGAACCAGTCCATCAACATTGAGCAGTCGCAGTCAGACCGCAGCAAGCGGCCCTTCAACCCTGTCACGTGAGTGTCTGGTTCCCGCCAGGGCCCCCACGCCCACCCCCAGGAGGGGACTGCGGGGCTCGGACACACAGGTGCCCCTCCCTGCCCCCTGAGCACCATGCCCCTCCTCTGCAGGGTCACTCTGCCCCCTGAGCAGGTCACGAAGGTGACTGTGGGGCGGCTGCACTTCAGCGAGACCACGGCCAACAACATGCGCAAGAAAGGCAAGCCCAACCCTGACCAGAGGTGAGCAGGGCAGGAAGGCACCCCCTGGGGAGCATGCCCGGCACAGCACCCGCAGCCTGGCCCATTTCACAGATGAGGCAGCTGAGGGTCAGAGTCCTTAACTCACGGAAGAGTGGGGGCCAGTGCTGTGGGGGCCAGTGCTGTGGGCCCTGAGGATTTCTGCCCCCTGGTGGAGGCTCGGGTCCCTGCTGTGTAGGGAGGGGCTGAGATGACAATGGGGAGCTATACATGCTGGCCCAGGAAGGGTGGCCGGGGGCAGGGGCAGCCAGGGCAGGACGCTGGGCACCTCTGAGACCCCTTGTGTGTCCCAGGTACTTCATGCTGGTGGTGGCTCTCCAGGCCCACGCACAGAATCAGAACTACACGCTGGCTGCCCAGATCTCAGAACGCATCATCGTGCGGGTGAGGACCACCTCCTCCTCGTGGGTACAGAGTCCTGCCCGGGGCTGCACGAAACAGCACCCAGGAGAAACACAGGGGTGCTGGGGAGTCAGGAGCCGGAGCGCAGATCCTGCCGGGGGCCGGCTGTGTTGCCTCGTGCGAGGCAGCCGCCCTCTCTGGGCCACAGCATCTCCTTCACAGTACAGCAAGGAGGTGGATAGCACCTCATCGCCTTCTGGGATCCCGCAAGTGACTAACAGTTGTCACAACAGACAGGACAGTTTAAGTTGTTCAGAGTGGGGTGAGGAGCCCCGGCTGAACCACGGGGACAGCTTTCCTAGGGCCCTGCAGATCCCACTCTCCGGCCTGAGCCAGCCCCAATTCCCCTAGGCCTCCAACCCAGGCCAATTTGAGAGCGACAGCGACGTGCTATGGCAGCGGGCGCAAGTGCCCGACACCGTCTTCCACCACGGCCGCGTGGGCATCAACACCGATCGTCCCGACGAGGCGCTGGTTGTACACGGCAATGTCAAGGTCATGGGCTCCCTCATGCACCCATCAGACCTGCGCGCCAAGGAGCACGTGCAGGAGGTGAGGGCGGGGCTATGGGGCTGAGAGGCTGCAGGCAGGGGCGGGGCTTGTGGGCGGGGCACGGCGGGAAGGTGGGGCTGCCGGGGCAGGAGGAAGGGGATGTTGGCGACCCTAGCAGCGGGGTGTTCCCCTCCACACTGCCTCCCCGGGCTGCCGGCCTCCTGGGCTCCGGGGGCTCTGGCGGCCGCAGCAGAGGAAGCTTAAGTCTGGGCCCTGGCTATCCCGCAGGTGGACACCACCGAGCAGCTGAAGAGAATCTCGCGTATGCGCCTGGTGCACTACAGATACAAGCCCGAGTTCGCTGCCAGCGCGGGCATCGAGGCCACCGCGCCTGAGACGGGTAGGGGCTGGCCTGGCACAGAGTGGGGTCCGGGAACCTCATAACCTTGGGCCTCAGTGACCTCGCTGGCCCTGGTGCTGTGGCGAGTTTGTGTTCCTACTCCCAGAACCCTCTCCCCTTGACTGTTGAAGCTCTGTCCTCGTCCTTGGGAATCCTGTCCCTTGGCCCCTAGAAATCCGCGCCTCCCTGGTCCCCAGAAGCTCACCCTCGGCCCCCTGGAAGAATCCTGCCTCATATCCCCGATGAAGAGGCCCCTTCCTCCTGGGGTGGCACACCCGGAGCCCTAGAGCTGCCGCCTGGCGTGCACTTGGGGCTGGGACTTCCCTGCTCCTGCCTTGGAACCCAGATTTCCCCGCCTGCTCCAAGCCTGCCCCTCTCCCCACACACCCCTGATTTGTCCCTCCCCAGGCGTCATCGCCCAGGAGGTGAAGGAGATTCTGCCCGAGGCCGTGAAGGACACGGGGGACATGGTCTTCGCCAACGGAAACACCATAGAGAACTTCTTGGTCGTGAACAAGGTCTGTGGGGCAGGGGAGCTGCACGGCCCAAGCTGCAAAGGGGCATGCCCGCTGGGGCTTCATCTCCCCTGTGGCGACCTGGGCACTGCAGCACGGAGGGCGGGAGCAGCCTGTCTCCTCCCGCTGTCTCCAGAGCCCCCTCCCCATCCCACAGCAGAGGGGGTGAATCAAAGGTGGGATCTGGCCACTGCAGGCTGTGTGAGCAAGGTCAGGACACCTTCCCTCAGCCTCTCGCCTCCATCAGAGGAGAGAAATAGAACTGCGAAAGCATCCTCATGTGCGTGTGCCAGGGTTCGAACGTGTTGCGAGGATGAGGTTTGCAACTTACCTGGCACCAAGGGGACGTGTAACATGCTGTCACCTCAGTGAGGTCTGAGACACTGTGGTCATCAGAGGGGCAGGTCTGGGGGGGAGCCATGAGGACAGCGGTCAGGCAAAGGTGCCGAGGTGAGGCTGTGCTTGGAAGCAGGTGCAGGGGTCTGCAGGAGCAGAAACTTGGCTGGAGGAGATGGGCTCCAGGTGGCTGTGGACACAGGGGCTCCCCTCCTGCTCCCTGGTGGCCCGCAGCCTGGGGTCCCTGGGGCTCCCGGGACTGAGCGTGCCCTCAAGGCTGGCCCATGCCTGTGGCAGGAGCGCATCTTCATGGAGAACGTGGGTGCTGTGAAGGAGCTGTGCAAGCTGACGGACAACCTGGAGACGCGCATCGACGAGCTGGAGCGCTGGAGCCACAAGCTGGCCAAACTGCGGCGGCTTGACAGCCTCAAGTCCACTGGCAGCTCGGGCGCCTTCAGGTGGGGGTGTGGGGTGGGGGAGGGGGAGGCCCTTTTCCCAGAGGCAGCCCTAACCCTGGCTCTCTGGCTGCAGCCATGCAGGGAGTCAGTTCAGCCGGGCAGGCAGTGTCCCCCACAAGAAGAGGCCTCCCAAGGTGGCCAGCAAGGTGAGGGTGGGCAGGGGTGGGGACAGGTTGGACCCGGGTCTTCCCCTTGCCGGCTCCCGCCTCTGCAGCCTCACTGACTCCAGGTGCTCCCCTCTGCTGGCCCTAACGTCCTCCCAGACTCTCCTGCCTCTCCCTCTGCCCCAGCCCCACCCAGGGGAGGGGGGCATGGGGCTGTGAGCACTCCCCCCTCCCGCAGAGTGCACAGTGGATAGGACCGCGAGCTCCCCGAGTCTGCCTCCCTCTGCATCTTTCTCTTTTTCTCCTTAGTCATCGTCCATGGTCCCAGACCAGGCCTGCATCAGCCAGCGCTTTCTGCAAGGAACCATCATTGCTCTGGTGGTGGTCATGGCCTTCAGGTGACTGGTTCCCCTGGCCCTGCGGGAGCTGAGCTGTGCGGTGGGGCTAGCTGTCCGTGGACCCCAGGGCTTGGGGGAGAGGAAGACGCGGCTTGGGAGAGCAAGCGGCTGAGGTCTCAGGGACTGCCTGCTTCTGTCTCCTCCTCCTGGGGCTGGGGAGGCACATTTTATTTTTAAAGATTTATTTATTTATTTGAAAGGTAGAGTAAGTGGGGGTGGGGGGTGGGAGATGTCTTCCATCCTCTGGTTCACTCTTCAAATGGCCATATGGGCTGGGGCTAGGCCAGCCAAAGTTGGGAGCTTCTTCTAGTTCTCCCACGTGGGTACAGGGGCCCAAGCACGTGGGCCATCCTCTGCTGCTTTCCCAGGAGCATTAGCAGGGAGCTGGATTGGAAGTAGAGCAGCCAGGACTTGAACCGGCACCCATATGGGATGCTGGCACTGCAGGTTTAACCCACTGTGCCTCAGCCTATTTGCAAGTACCACCTGGGAGCCCAGCCCCTGGGGCAAGAGAAACGGCAAGGACAATGAGCCAGCTCTAACGGACCCTTCTCTGTGGCTCCCAGCGTGGTATCCATGTCCACACTGTACGTGCTGAGCCTGCGCACCGAGGAGGACCTGGTAGATACTGATGGGTATGTCCCTGGGGGCCTGGCTACTGAGCAGGCTGCCAGGCCAGGTGGGCTTTGTTGAGGAGCCAGGGAGGCTGTGTCCTCTGAAGGGGTTCAGCCTGCCAGGAGCATGATAGGATGGGTAGGAGGGGCCCCCGGAGGGTGGGCAGCTGTTCCCAGGCCCTGCTGACACTGATGTCTCTTTCTGCCCCCCTCAGTGTTCCTCCAGGTAACTGGGCCTCTGGGAGTCGGGGCTCATTTGAGGGGCCCGGGGTTGGAACGGGCGTGGGGGAAGAAGGGAGGAGGGCCAGGGCAAGACCTGGGCTGTGTGCCCACTATCACTCCCAGCTTCTGGGGTCACTTCTGACTGTGTCTTCTCTCTCTCCTCCCCTGGGCCTGTCTGCCCCTTGCCTCTCTGCTGCCCTTAGCTCTTTTGCCGTGTCTACTTCCTGTCTCCTGGCCCTGCTCCGGCCCCAGCACCCTGGGGGGAGTGAGGCCATGTGCCCATGGTACGTCTGCCCCTCCCTCGCTGGCTCCTGCTCCCCTTCTGCCTGCCTCCTTTCCACCTTCCCTCTCCACCTCCTCCTGCCCCTCCTGCTTCTCCAGACCCCCCAAGCCTCCCCCTTCTGAGCCCCTCAGTCCTTCTGAGCTCAGCCCATCCTTCCCCAGCAGGTCCAGCCAGAGCTTTGGGACCACTCAGCTCCGACAGTCCCCCGTGACCACTGGGCTACCACCAGACGTGCCCTCTTTGTTGCTGGGTGTGTGCCTGGGGCAGGTCTGGGGGCGTGGAGCAGGGGAGACGCTGTGGTGCGGGGCTCTGCTGTTCCCCTCCAGCTCACACAGTCTCCCTCTTTCAGTTACCACGGGCCTGACCAGCTCCACCCCAGGACCCACCATCCGTACCCTGGACCTGTGCTCCAGCCACCCCTGCCCTGTCGTCTGCTGCTCCTCACCCACCCCCAGCCCTCCCATACACCCTAGTCTCGGCCCCAGCTTTAACCCTGGCCATGGCCTCAGCCCCAGTCCCAGCCCCACCACCAACCATTCAGGTATGGTTACCTCAGAGACAGGGCTTGGGTTGGGGGATAGGAGGAGTTATCTGAGTCCAGAAAAAGGACCCCAAGACCTACTGGTGGGAGGGTCTCCTAAAGCCCAGAGTGAGGCTCTGGAGATAGACTGGGGAGTCACGCCGAGGGGGACCAGGAGACTGATGGGGTTCACTCAGAGTCCAGGGGACCCCGGGGACTGCCAGACAGGAGGCAGCAACCCCCCTTTACAGCCTGTCCCTGCTTCTATCCACAGGCCCTAGCCAGGTGGCCCTGCTGCCCGTCACCAACATCAGAGCCAAGTCCTGGGGCCTTTCAGCCAATGGCATTGGCCATTCCAAGCATCCCAAGAGTGTGGAGCCTGTGGCCAGCCCTGCCGTCCCCTTCCCTGGGAGCCAGGGCAAAGCCAAGAACAGCCCCAGTCTTGATTTCCATGGTCGGGCCCGCCGAGGGGCTCCCGAGCCCAGCCTGGGTCCTGCCCAGCCCACTCGGGCCCAGGGCCAGCCAGGTACTTTATCTTGCACCTGACAGCTCCCCACACAGCCCAGCAAAGCTCGTCATCCAGGGCCCTTTTCAGCCCAGTCACATGGCTGCGTGGGTGCAGAACTGTCAGTCAACAGACACCTGCAGAGCACATCCTAAGTGTCAGGATTTGGCCAGGAGCCTCATAATCGGATCCTGTAATCCTCACAACCCTGCAGCAAGGACGCTGCTGATATGAGGAAACAGCAGAGGTTTAGGTGCAGAGACTTGCCCGGGTCCTGCAGCCCACAGCAGCCGTGCTGGGATTTCACGTCAGGTCTGCCTGTTGAGCCTAGCTCCTTGGTCACGCCAGGAAGAGAAAGGTGCTGTACAGGGCTCCCTGCACTTCTCCCATCTCTTGCCTTGGGTTTTAACAAAGCTAGAGAACCTTCTATTGCAGAGGTCTCCAGAATCCGTTCCTCCCAGGTGCCCCTTGGGCTGCCCCGGAGATCCAAGGAGAGGCTAGGAGCCTTGTGAGCTTCTCTCAGGCAGCTCTGCGCCTCCTCAGCAACTTTCCTATGATGGGTTTTGTGGCTTAAAGCATAAATAACCTTGGAAACGGAGACTTGCAGAGATTGAAGTTGCAGGTGGTAGGGAAACCTCAAGGGATGGATGCTCCCCAGGCAGCTGTTCCCTGGGGTGCTGCTCTGGGGCTGGCTCTGTGCAGGGCATGGGGTGAGGGAGACAGCCATGCCCCTGCCCTCCGCGCGCTTGCAGAGGACAACACCGCCGTGTGACAAGGCTCCAAGAGGACAGGCAGGCAGCTCTGGGCCTGGCGAGGTGACTGAGGGAGGCGTCCCTGCAGGAGGTGACACTGGAACTGAGTCTGTGAAAGACATTTAGGTTTGCCCAGAAGGGAAGTGGGAAGGACACGTGTCCCTGGCTGCCAGGGTGTTCTGCATCCTGCTGGAATCCTGTGTCCCTGGGTTGTGCCTCAGAGTTCAAAACTGGGCCCAGCATGTGTTCAGCAGCCTGTTCCGTGCTTTCTCCCTTCCTTAGTGGAAGGATCAGGCAACAGTGAGCCTGCAGGTGAACCAGGATGAACAAGCGAGCTTTGTCCCTCCCCCTCCCAGCTGCCCATCACACCTCAGTGCCACCCCTTAGCCAGCCAGCCAGGCTGATGGGATCATCCAGTGCAGGCTGCGGGCCGAGGAATGTTGGGAGGTGGGCTCTCTGGGTCGGGCAGAGCCCTGACTTGTGAGCACTCTGCCATGGCAGGTTCCAGGCTACTGAGGAACATCCTGAACCCAGAGCTGGGAAGAGATGTGTGGTCAGGAAGGGAGGCCTCTGAGTGGCTCCTGCACCCACTGCAAGGGATCTGGAAGTTGGGTCCCGGCTTCTGGGTGCCCTGGTTCTGTGCAGGAGGCAGACCTCAGGCCCATGGGAACAAGGAGCTGCTGGGGAAGGGGTGCAGTGTGACCCTGGCCATTTGTGGGAGCCTGGAAATACCCCAAAGCTTAGTCACACTGAGGCATGAGTGAGCCAGATCTGGCTAGGGAAGACCGGACTGCTGCTCATCGGTGTCCTGCCTGGCACCTCCCTGCCCAACAGCCTTTCTCCTTGCAGACCCAGTGCCTTCCCTGACCTCCATCCAGGTGCTGGAGAATTCGATGCCCATCACTTCCCAGTACTGTGCTCCAGGGGACGCGTGCAGGTGGGTTGTCCGTTGTCCCTTACCCCCCGGGGGGTTCCCTCAGGTGACACGAACATAGGTGCCCCAATCTTGCCCCCCTTGGGGAGGGGCCTCCCACACACGGCAGGGCAGCCCCTTTCCAGGCCTCTGAAGGGTCCCAGGGACTAGCTAGGGGTGAGGAGTCAGAGGGAGATGCTTCGACAGGGTGGTCTGGGGCTGAGGTGGCGGTTTCGCCCCTTCAGGCCTGGAAACTTCACCTACCACATCCCCATCAGCAGCAGCACCCCGCTGCACCTCAGCCTGACCCTGCAGATGAAGTAAGTGCCGGCGGGGGGGGGGGGGTGGGCTGGGAGCCACGGAGAAGCCCCCGCAGAGCCTCAGGACAGCCTGAGCAGGACCTGGACGACCTGGGGTGTGGGGCGGGGGTGGAGTGCTGACCCCATTGTCTGTGTGTGGTGAACTGGCTGAGATGACCTCGCAGGCTGTAGGAGCATATGCAATGGTATATGGGAAGGGTTTGGCCCTCCTAGGACCTTGGTTATTAGGCCTGTTTTCCAGTGGCTTGTTTCAGGGGTGGGACTGAGAGACTTAGGATCCCCACTTTCCTGCTAACTGGGCCTTTTCCCCAGCTCCTCCTCCCCCGTGTCTGTGGTGCTGTGCAGCCTGACGTCAAAGGAGGAGCCCTGCGATGAGGGGGGCTTCCTGGAGAGTCTCCACTCCCACCAGGATACCCAGGTAGGGGGCTGGGAAGGTATGGGCCAGGCAGGCTCTTGAGCTCCCCTTTCCCGGGCACAGCTGGACCCATGAACAAGTGATGGGGGAGCCAGGAGTTGGAGAGAAGGCATCCCCACAGGGGATACTTGGGGGGCTGGGCCTTGCCATACCTGCCCGTGCTCATTCATTCCACTCTCTACCAAGCATCTCCGGTGTGTGCAGTGATGGCGCCCTGGGGATGCAAGTTCGGCAAGGACTAAGCTGGGTTGAGTGCCATGATGGAGATGGGCGGACTTCCTGGGAGCCTGGGGCAGGGAGGGCTGCGAGTCAGGGAGGTGGAATGGTTGGGGCCTGCTGTGGCAAGAAGGGACCTACACCTCCTGCTCAGATTGGGGAAGTGGCACAGTTAGATCTTCAGTCTTAGAAGAGCTCTCGGGCTCCATGCCTGGAACTGAGGGTAGGGCCCTGTCACCATCCAGCTCCTTGCTGGCCATGTGGACAACCAGAAGTTAGGACTATCCTGGGGCCAATAGACCAGCTTCTCCTTGGGCCTGAGAGGCCATGGGAGAAGACTGGCAAGTGAAGGGAAGGAGTGTTTAGTCAACAAATAGTTATTGGGGCTTCCTGTTTCAAGCTCTGTGCTCCCAGATATGGGAGACACCAGTGGGATGAACACAGGCTTCAACTTCCCAAAATGCACTCCCTAGAGTCAGAGAAAGGAGGTGCAGACAGTACTTTGATTGGGGGAGGGAGTAACTGAGTGTCCCAAAGGAGACAGTGTCCCACAGTGTCCCAGCTAGATGCTCATTGGATTAGGCTCAGGCAAAGCCTCGGGTGAGAGATGGGGGAGCTGCCTACAGCTGGGCCTCGTGCTACCCTGTGAGGGAGAGAGCCATGCAGGCCTGGGTTTGAAGCTTAGCTCTGCCATTGTGATTTTTAGGCACATGACTCAGTTTCCTGATCTCCAAGGTGAGAACAATAGCAGCATCATTTCACTGGATGGTAGTGAGGAGGGAGTCGGATACTTCGATGTGCCGGGAGCGGTGGGTGGGAGGTAACAGTGGGACAGGGCAGGTAGCACCGGGTAGAGGTGCTGTGGACTTGTAGGGACAGAGTCTGCAGAATGTAGCTGCCACTGTTCCCCACAGCAGAACATGCTGCCTGCCAGCTCTCTCTGGAGCTCTCTGCCTTCTTTCATGAAACACACTGCAGGGCCTCAGGGCTGCGACAGCCATGGTGTGAGGGGTACTGGTTGGGACAGGGGCGAGTGCTGTGCTGACCCTTCTCCCTTCTTCCCTCAGGGCACCTCACACCAGTGGCCAGTAACCATCCTGTCCTTCCGTGAATTCACCTACCACTTCCGGGTGGCACTGCTGGTGAGCTCGGGTACCCACCATCCCCTGTGCGTGGCCAGGCACCTTAATCTGCCATGTGGGGCTTAGGGAAGTAGGGGCAGAGTACATGGCTGGGGTTGGGGCACAGTGTCAAGGATGTCAGCAGGGGTGTGCCACCTGTCCTGTCCCTTCAGAGCCACCTCAACGATTCTCACTGCGCTTCCACCCAGGGTCAGGCCAACTGCAGCTCGGAGGCCCTCGTCCAGCCAGCCACAGACTACTACTTCCACTTCTACCGCCTGTGTGATTGAGCTGTCCTCCAGGGGCAGCACCATGCCAGGGACCAGGGGTCCTGGGCACCCCTCCCACACTGGATGCAATGGTGTTACACTGGAGCCTGCTGCTGGCCAGCTCTCTGCTGCTCACTGGCCCTCCGGGACTAGTGAAACTGGAAGTCCTCACACTGGAGTTGCTGTTCCTGCTGTCATCCCTCACCCAGCACAGAGGGAGCCGGAGAGACTTCCTGGGCCAGGACAGGGCCCAGTCACGTCTGTCTAGTACAGTGGTTGCAGGGCTGGCTTTAGATGTCCTGGAGGCAAGGGGAAGCCTGTGACCCTAATTTGTCCAGAGCCCACCCTCCCCTGCCTTCCCTTTTGAGACCGGGAGCTACCCCTCTTGGAGAGGACCTACCTACTTTTGAGATCAGCCAGGGGCTGGGATCCAGCCCTGAGACTTGGCTGGGACACCCATAGGTGAAGGGGGGCCAGACAGCTCTCAGCCTCAAAGCTGCTCCCTGGGGGATGGCTTGGCAGTGGACTTTTTGGGGTTTGACTGTTACGCTGGACTTGGACTTCTAAGCTTCAAGTGTGGCCCAGGAGGTGTCTTCCTGGGAGAGCTTGGCAGCCAAGCCCAGCCCCGGACAGGTTGGAGAGAGACTTCTGTGCCTTACGTCTACTCAGTGCCTGACGAAGCTGTCCGCAGGTCTGAGCCAGAGGGGTCGGTAGGCCAGGTAAGCCTTGGACCCTTGAACCTGGGGTATACTGGAAGGGGAAGTTCCACGTGATCCCCCAGATGGCCTGTGCTCATGGGAGCTTCCAGAACAGTGGTGTCAGCGGCCCCATCGTCCGAGCAGAGGAGCAGGCATCCCTGCAGGCAGCAGGCTGGGCTTGGCTGGTGGGCGGATGCAAAAGCTCTTGCTGTTGTTAATGAAGTGATTACTAAATGCACTTAAGCCAGGGCAGGAAGGAGCAGAAGCATGGAGCTGGAAAGCCCAGAGTGGGTCACAGCCCTGGGGTGACACTAGCTAAGATAGGGCCTGGGCTCAGAGCCTGAGACACCCATGTCACTCCCAACTGCCAACGCCGGTCTCTCCACTCTGTCTTCTGGTGGCCTTGTCTCTCCACATCAAAGGCTCACTTGCTGCACTTGGGAGCTAAGCTGGAGGGACACCTGCTCGGCAGACCCCATCTCTGTCCACCCCTTCCAGGAGTGGAGGGGTGGGCTTCGGTTAGGGAAGCTGCTTTATCCCAAGTGCCAACGTAATGTTTCCTAGTGGTGCCTAGGGCACTCGGAGGCCACATCCAAGCCCATGGAAGGGGTGAGGCAGTCATTCAGCTGTGTCTGCCATGGACTCAGAACTAGGAAAGGGAATTCCGTCCTTGCCCTTGGTATTCTGCCACCTCTTTGAGAACCAGGCCTTGCCTCCACGCCACCTCTCACTCATAGCTCTGAATGGAGACTGTTCTTGAAGAAACCAATGAACCACAGGCTCCCTTCTGCCGTGGATCACAAAGCACTTACCCGTGGGACAGGGAAATACCAGGGCGTGAGGGGACAGCAGGGTTATCTTGCTTCCGAGCCCACCCCCGTTGGCTCACTCCCTACTTGTGAAATAGGAATTGTGTGACTCCACATGCTGTGCTAGGGGTGGGGGTAGGGGTGGGTTAGGACTCCTCTGCTCTCCCCCCTCCCACTGGAGGGCCCCTCCTTATAATGCCTTAAAACTGCCAAGTCCTATCCTTTGTAATAGGAATCTGGGGCTTCTTCAGCGGGGGGAGGTATATTCTCGGACTGCGGCCCCTCAGTCTTTAACTGGAAAGTGACCCTCCTCTGCCCTCTGGAGCCCACTTGGACACAGCGTAGCCCTTATCCTGTTAGCAGCTGGCTCTGTTCTGTGCCTGGTGAGGGGTCCTCAGTACAAGTTGCTGGGACTCCAAGCTGCTTGAGGGGGTCAACCCTGGACCAAAGTTGCCTTCAGCCCGAGGTAAAGGGCTTCAGGGACAGCTAGTGGGCCACCTGCTGGAGGCTGGCTGCCTGGCCCGCCCTGCCCTCCCTGGGTTCAGCAGGCCGTCCCTCCCTTCCCTCCTCTTTGTTTGTTCCTGTAGCCACTGGGCTAATCTCCCCCTAGCTTCAAGCTGTATATAGGGCCTCCCGTGCAAACCCCCACCACACCCTGCCCCTTAGAAGCCTGCATGTGCATAGAGCGCCCTCCCAGTTAACCCCCAGTTCCCCTCCCTGAGCTGTGACGCATATTTATCATGCACCCTCTCTGACTCTGAGGTGGGCAGAGGACAGCAGCCCCAGGTCTGCTCACTTCTGGTCTCCTGATCGGTTCTCTTCTTCTGGAGTAAATATACATATATAAATAAATGTATAAATGCTGCTTTGTATCTGAGCTTGCCTCCCTGATTCTGGAGGTTGTCCTGGTTGAAGAGGGAGTCACCCATGGGACTGGGACCGACTGGAACTTGGAAGTCCTTCCTAAAAAGTCTGGAGTCCCCAGCCTGTGAGCCAGATGGGTGCTTTGTGTCCCTTATCCTGCTTAGTGTCTTACAAGGGCTGGGAAAGGACTCAGCAGCTCCTCCCTTGGCCATACCTCCTTTGCCCACCCCTTAACTGCCACCCACCTGAGTTAAAAATAGCTATCCAGCCAAAAGCCTTCTTGGGGAACAAGCTGAACCCGGTGAAGGCACCCAGCCCAGAGAAAGGATTGGCCCAGGGCAGAACTGACTTATATGGGTCCAGGACTGACTGCTATGGGTCCCTAGGAAGTCTGTTCTAGAAACCACAGAAGGGGGTAGAGACCCAGACCCTTCCTGTCCACAGGTTAAACTCTAATGACAAGATACCCCTGGCACATTATAACCCTCAGCCCCAGCAGCAGAAACTATGCTATAGGCAGGCAAGAAACAGTAGAGTGGGACCGGGAAGTCATGTGGGTCCCAGTATCACCCCTACTCCCATAGAATGGGCACTGGACAGGACTGTCACACATCTGCTTTTATTGTGAGAGCAGGTGGGACGCTTCCAGCAACAGTAAAAAAGAAAAACATTTTTACAAAAATGGAGGTTCCGGGAAGCCGCCTGGCTGGTACCTGAAAGGGGAGGGATATCCAAATGAGACCAAAGACTGTTCTTTCCACCTCTTCTCCCTGAAGCCCTGCGCCTAGGGCAGGGACCAACAAGCACAATCCTTTACGGATGAGCCTCCGGAGCCGATTCTCCATGACCTGGCGGGAGGATTATCTGCAGGAGTTTCAAGGCCCAGGCCCTGATCCCTTCCAGGAAGCCCGCTTCCCAGCACCTTCCGCAAGTCACTTGATATGACTTTTTATTTTATTTTTTTTTATTTTTTGACAGGCAGAGTGGACAGTGAGAGAGAGAGACAGGGAGAAAGGTCTTCCTTTGCTGTTGGTTCACCCTCCAATGGCCGCCGCGGCTGGCGCGCTGCAGCAGGCGCACCGCACTGATCCGATGGCAGGAGCCAGGTGCTTCTCCTGGTCTCCCATGGGTGCAGGGCCCAAGCACTTGGGCCATCCTCCACTGCACTCCCGGGCCACAGCAGAGAGCTGGCCTGGAAGAGGGGCAACCGGGACAGAATCCGGCGCCCCGACCGGGACTAGAACCTGGTGTGCCGGCGCCACAAGGCGGAGGATTAGCCTAGTGAGCCACAGCGCCGGCCATGTATATGACTTTTAAGAGTGAAAAGGGAAGACCACAGGAAGCCTGCATCCACATCCCAAAGCCAAACTGAGGTCTTGGGCAGTCTGGAGAACTCAGCTGACAAAGTCTGTCCCACATGGCCAATTCCCCACGTGGGGCAGGAAAGAGGCACACGTATCTCATGTCCCTGTCCAGAGGTTGCCTCCATTAGCCAAGGAGTCTGGCCCAAGGGTCCCACTGATGTGGATGTGGGGAGCTTCTCTAGACTGTCGGAGGCTCCAGCATCCCACCCTGTCAGCTCTTACCCTTGGAGCTCAGACATAGATGCCAACCCACAGCAGGAGGAAGAGGACTCCAAAGCCCATGAAGAGCGAGGCCACCAAGGAGATGAGGAGCTCTTTGTAGATGTCCCGAGTGTACTTGGTGGACGTGACCTCGTAGCTGGGCACAGCTGTTAAGGAGAAGCAGAGATAGACTGCAGAGTGCAGGGAGCCTGGCCGGCTCAGTGTGGCAGGCAGAGGGCCCAAGAGATGCCTCCACTCTGACGCTCCATGTCACTCTCCACCACTTAAGAAATGAGACCCAGAGGTTAGGTGACTGGCCCGAGGTCATACAGCTCACCTGTGGTGGAGCGAGGGCTGGCCCTCAGGCTTCCTGACATGAGTACACCCCACTTATACCACCTCTCCAACGTTAGTTCTCCCATCCCCAGCCTCCGCTCCAGTTGGGACCTTCTGCTCACTGTCTTAGACATCTGACAAGCAAACCAAACTCACCTGAACCTGGAAAATAAGGCCACAACTTTCCCTGGACATCATGAGCCTTGCTCTCCTCATCTTCTCCCATCCCCAACCACATACGCAAAACTGGTAGGGTGCACGAATCCACCGCGGTTTCTCCCTCAGCTTCCCATGTCCTGAGTTCTGGCCCACTCAGTGAAAGGATACACGAAGAACCAGGCGGTGAAGAACATGCCAATGGCCAAAAGCACAACGGTCAGATGAGGGAAGACGGCTGGGTTCACTGGGCTGGTGTATCTGCTCATGGCCTCGAGCTCCTAGGGGAGGACGTGAGAATACAGCCATCATGGAATCCCATGAGTCCAACCTGGGGACACTGAGGGGTTACCCACAGACGCTCAGTCCCTGATGGAAAATGGCACAGTATCTGCACATAACCAATGCGCATCCTCCTGTACACTTTAAGTCGTCACTAGATTACTTATGATACCTAATTCAATATAAATGCTATGTAAATAGTTGTTATACTGCATCATTTAGGGACTATGATATAAAAAACTATGTGTTCAGTACAAATGCAATTTTTTCTTTTGAATGTTTCTGATCCATGGTTGGCTGAAACCTGGATGTGGAACTTACAGAGAGAGTGGACTATATATCTTAAAACTGAAGTGGTAGGGTGGCAATGTAGCACAGTAGGTTAAGCTGCTACCTGAGACACCAGTATTCCACATCAGAGTGCCGGTTTGAGTCCTGGCTGCTCCACTTCTTCTTCCTTTTTAAAAATTAATTAATTTATTTGAAAGAGTTGCAGAGGGAGAGGCAGACAAAGGTTTTCACCCACTGGTTTACTTTCCAAGTGGCTGCAATGCCCAGAGTTGAGCCAGGCCAAAGCCAGGCAGGTCTCCTACATGGGTGGCAGGGGTCCAAGCACTTGGGTCATCTTCCGCTGCCTTTCCCAGGCCATTAGCAAAGAGCTGGATTGGAAGCAGAGCAGCCGGGATAAAAACCAGGGCCCATGTGGGATGCTGGGTTTGCAGGCAAAAGCTGTACCCACAAACGCCACAACCCAGCTGCTCTACTTCTGATCCAGCTCTCTGCTAATGGGTCTGGGAAAGCAGCAAAAGATGACCCAAGTACTTGGGCCCCTGCCACTCACATGGTTGACCAAGATGAAGTTCTGGGCTTCTGGCTTTGGCCTGGCCCAGCCCCGGCCATCATGGCTACTTGGAGAATGAGCCTGCAGATGGAAGCTCTCTCTCTCTCTCTGACCCTCTCTGTCACTCCGCCTTTAAAATAAGCATTAAAAACCAAAACACCAAAGTGGCACTTTTCAATATGGGACAAGAAGGGTAGCTTAGAGGCTGAGACACAGAAGGTAACAGGCTGCAGCTCAAACATCCTTAGCATTTTCCGACACCAATGGCCACTATGAAACGTAGTGAAAGATATACTTCCTGTCTGGGAGAAAAATCACATAGAGAAAAAGTTTTCTTACAAACTTCAGAGCTTTGTGGATGTATGCCTACAGACACCAAGCTGGGGATCCCTGCTACAAGGCACGGACCTGGACTGGTACCTAATCTCAATTTCTAATGGAGAATTCCTCCCACTACACGTTTATGGATTCTCAGGACCCATAAGCAAAAGAAAACAGTTAGAATTCTGGCTCCAACAAGTAATCTGAGTCTTGGTGAAGTGGTTACAATAACATCTATTTGGGGCCCGCACTGTAGCACAGTGAGTGGGCTAAGTGTCTGCCTGCAGCACTGGCATCCCATTTGGACACCTGTTCGTGTCCCGGCTGCTCCTCTTCCGATCCAGCTCTCTGCTATGGCCTGAGAAAGTGGTAGAAGATGGCCCAAGTACTTGGGCCCTTGCACCCACGTGGGAAACCAGGAAGAAGCTCCTGGGTCCTGGCTTTGGTTTGGCCCAGTTCTGAAAGTTGTGGCCATTTGGGGAGTGAACCAGTGGATGGAAGATCTTTCTGTCTCTCCCTCTGTCTGCAACTCTGTGTCTCAAATAAATAAAATCTTTTAAAAAAATAATATCTATCTGACACAGAGTTGCTGTATGATTTAAGAAAGCTGATGCATGTCCACCATCTAGTTTAGTGCCCCACATACAGTAGCTGTTCAATAGGTGTTTGTTTCCTTCCTAAGGTTGCAAGGAAGATGATGAGATAATGCCTGTGAAAGAGGCTACACACGTCAAGTTTTGTACAAATGTTCACTTCCATTGTCACCCACTAAGCCAACGCTTCTAAAATCCAGAACATAACAACTCGGGAGAAGTAAACTGACCCCATTGTTCCAAGAGATACTGGAATTGAATTCAGTAAACAATTATGTCCCCCTCACCCCCCTAAGAACGATGAAGACAATCGCGGCTATTTATCCAGCCTCCAATTACGGGCCCTGTGTTGGGCACCGGGAATACAAAGGCTAATAGACATCACCCAGAGCTAGAGGCGCGTCAGATGGTGGTCACTAGGAGGCGTGGCAGAAAACAAAGGCGGCCAAGAAACGTGGCAAGAGGTCTGTGCAGAGGCTGGGGGCGCTCCCAAGAGAAGGGGACCAAGTGCCCGTGAGAGTCCAGACACTGGCCAGGGCCTTGTGGGATGAGTACAAGGCGGGGGAAGAACTTTCTAGAGATCACAGGGAACACACACACAAGTTCCAGGGTACTCAAAGTGCACCTCACACCCCTCACCCTTTATAAACAGCAGGAGCTGAAGCCCAGCGGGGCTACATCTCAGCCTACGGAGTCCATGGCAAGTCCTTCCTCGCCCCTCAGCTCAAACCGGGGCCCCAGGAGCGCTCCAACATCTGAATCTTGGACTTGAGACCTCCGCGAAAGTACGCGGTGTGAATCAGACCCCGAGCCGTGCTCTCCGCCCTGCTCAGAACTCCCCTCATCCCTCTCACCATTTTGCCGGGCACAGCCTAAGTCGCCACTCCGCCACCGGAAGAACACGTCGGCAGGAGCAGGCGCCTTGTTCGTCCGGAAGAGGAAGTGCTCTCGTGCGAATGGCATTGTGGGACTTGTAGTCTTTTAGTTTCAGGTGTGCTCGGAGCTGGGATCTGTGGGGCCTGATGTAGTACCCTACTCCTGGAGCAGAGTGAGCAACGCAAGAATAGGGAAGGCTTAGCTGAGCGAGTCCTTTCTCCCTAGCGAAACTGTTTGCCTTGGGAGCAAGGTGTTCGAGAGAGCCAGAGCGTGCACTACGCTCCCCAGGAAGCTGTGCGCCGCGGGCCGGTCACGTGACGGGAGCGCGGGCTTTGGAAGGCGGCGGAGTGAGGGTCTGCCCGCGACAAGAGCTGAGGGGAGCGGAGCTTAGGACTGTGCTGGGCAACACCTGGCGAAGCGCTACCTGCCCAGGCCTCGCGCCGCAAAGGCCAGGTGAGACTCCATGGGACGCTCCTGAGAGCGACGGGGGCCGCTTTGCGCCGGGTGCCCTGTCGCTCGCGGGTTCTCAGGCCGTCCCGCCACTTTCCCGTTGTGGGATTTGGGATCTTTTGCATAACCTCCGAGCCCCTCCTTTGCTTGTAGAAGGAGGCCCATAACTACCACGTTATGAGGTCGTGGGGTATTATTTTTTATTATTATTGTTATTTTTTAAACTAAGGCTTTGGACGCAAAGCCTGTTCGCAGCCTCGCTTGCTGAGGCCCCTTGGCTGCTGTATTGAATGCCGCCGAGAGCGCCCGCGGCTCGCAGAGCGACGTGCTCTGCTCTGGGCACACGGGCTAACAGTGCTGCCCGCTTGGGGACCCGAACCCGAGGACCGGGTGGGTTCCGTCTCGGGCACCTGGGTCATGGCGGAAGATCGCCGGTTAACGCAGCGGGAATCCGCAAGACAGGCTCGGTTGTCACAGAGTGGAGAAGCCCAGAGCGAAGTGCGCTGTGACGCCGATGGTGCACGCGGGCGCCCGGACTCAAGGCCAGGGCTTGGCCACGGGCATTCACAGGGGAGCTAGAAGGAGATGGACCGTGAAGGAAGGGTGAGAGGTTGGCGGGAAGAGGGCACCGAAAAGGCAGCCCCGAGCACAGCCTTTCGATTGGGTTCCCAGACTGAGGAGGTTGGTTGTAGAGTATTTATTTATTTATTTGAAGAGCACAGTTACAGAGAGGCAGAGAGAGAGATTCCATCCGCTGGTTCACTCCCCGATGGCCGCAATGGCCAGAGCTGCGCCGATCTGAAGTCAGGAGCCAGCAGCTTCTTCTGGGTGCCCCACGCGGGTGCGGGGGCCCAAGCACTTGGGTCATCTTCTACTGCTTTCCCGGGCAATAGCAGAGAGCTGGATCGGAAGTGGAGCAGCCGGGAGTAGAACCAGCGCCCATATGGGATGCCGCACTACAGGCGGCGGCTTTACCGGCTGCACTACAGTGCCAGGCCCTGTAGAGGATTTCTTAATGAGGAACACCTGCTACCAGTGCGTACAGGATGACTTTAAATTGCACATAATTGTGTGCATTTAAAGATCTGTTAGGTGAATGCAAGTTCAGATTTTAACTGGAGGTGGCAAAAATGGTGATGGCAGTTTGGGAAAGATTTGCTAAGGGACCTGGGTCACGGATGATGAAGCACTGGCTCCTATTTGCAACTGCCCGCCAGTGTAGACCCTGTGATGAGCAGGTTCAAGTTGGTTGGGTTCTTGACTTCCTCTTCCGCTGACCCAGCCCCTGGCTGTTGCAGGCATTTGGGTAGTGAGCCGGCAGGTGGGCGCTCTATGTCTCTCTGCCTCTCAGATAACTAAGTAAAAACTACATGTATAATACATATATGTGTAGATTTCCCACAATTTTTTAAAAGATTTTATTTATTTGAGACAGTTACAGTGAGTTGTAGAGAGAGAGGGAAAGGTCTTATATCCGCAGGTTCACTCCCCAGATGGCCACAACGGTTGGAGCTGGGCTGATCCAAAGCCAGGAGCCAGGAGCTTCTTCCAGGTCTCCTATGTGGGTGCAGAGGCCCAAGTTTTGGGCCATCTTCTGCTGCTTTCCCAGGTCTTAGCAGAGAGCTGGATTGGAGCAGCCAGGAGTCGAACTGGTGCCCAAATGGGATGCCAGCACTGCAGGTGGTGGCTTCACCTGCTGCACCACAGTGCTGGCCCCTCCACAAAATTTTTGAAGCCCTGTTTCTTAGCTGCTATTTGCCTGTCCTTTAGGGCTCAGTTCTTCCAGCTTGCTCCCTAAACTCCTCAAGCTGCGTCCGCCATCTTCTCGTCTTCTCCAGTTCTTGATACATGGGTTTCGGTCTTGAATGAGAGGTGATAGTGCTGTCCTTGCCACAGGGTCCTCTCATGAACGTGGCAGTGTCTTTATTTCTCCTCTTTTGATAGACTGTAATTTTCTTGAGAACGACGGCCATTGTTTTGGTCATCTTCTCAGCCTTTGCAGTGCTGCATTGGAGTAGCTGGGACATGCAGTTGGTGTGAGGCACCAGTTATAACCCTCTTCTTCTTTGCAACCTTGAAGTTTCTCTGCCTCTTACTTGCCTTTTTTTTTTTTAGCCATCCCTCCTCCAAATTGCCATGGGAATTCAAGGCCTGGCCAAACTGATTGCCGATGTGGCCCCCAGTGCCATCCGGGAGAATGACATCAAGAGCTACTTTGGCCGCAAGGTGGCCATTGACGCCTCCATGAGCATTTATCAGTTCCTGATCGCGGTCCGCCAGGGTGGGGAAGTGCTGCAGAACGAGGAGGGTGAGACCACCAGCCACCTGATGGGCATGTTCTACCGCACCATCCGCATGATGGAGAATGGCATTAAGCCTGTGTATGTCTTTGACGGCAAGCCCCCACAGCTCAAGTCAGGGGAGCTGGCCAAACGCAGTGAGCGGCGGGCAGAGGCGGAGAAGCAGCTGCAGCAGGCTCAGGCTGCCGGAGCTGAGGAGGAGGTGGAAAAGTTCACCAAGCGGCTGGTGAAGGTCACCAAACAGCACAATGACGAGTGCAAACATCTGCTGAGCCTCATGGGCATCCCATACCTCGACGCGCCCAGTGAGGCAGAGGCCAGCTGTGCAGCCCTGGTGAAGGCTGGCAAAGTCTATGCTGCGGCCACAGAGGACATGGACTGCCTCACCTTCGGCAGCCCTGTGCTGATGCGGCACCTGACTGCCAGTGAGGCCAAGAAGCTGCCCATCCAGGAGTTCCACCTGAGCCGGATTCTGCAGGAGCTGGGCCTGAACCAGGAGCAGTTTGTGGATCTGTGCATCCTGCTGGGCAGCGACTACTGTGAGAGCATCCGGGGCATCGGGCCCAAGCGAGCTGTGGACCTCATCCAGAAGCACAAGAGCATCGAGGAGATCGTGCGGCGGCTCGACCCCAATAAGTACGCTGTGCCAGAAAATTGGCTGCACAAGGAGGCCCAGCAGCTCTTCTTGGAGCCCGAGGTGCTGGACCCAGAGTCTGTAGAGCTGAAGTGGAGTGAGCCAAACGAAGAAGAGCTGGTCAAGTTCATGTGTGGTGAGAAGCAGTTCTCCGAGGAGCGAATCCGCAGTGGAGTCAGGCGGCTGAGCAGGAGCCGCCAAGGCAGCACCCAGGGCCGCCTGGACGATTTCTTCAAGGTGACCGGCTCACTCTCTTCAGCTAAGCGCAAGGAGCCAGAACCCAAAGGATCGGCTAAGAAGAAGGCAAAGACTGGGGCAGCAGGGAAGTTCAAACGGGGAAAATAAAGATGTTTCCCTTCACCGTATCTCCTTGACCCCAGAATATCTGCCTTGTACCCTCCAGAGCTACAGCTAGAAGAATCTCCATGGGGGTGGGGAGGGGATTCCATTACTTTCCTAGTGCTATGCTTCTCAGTAGCTTTTTCCTTTTTTTTTTTCCTTTCCCCACTTGATCTCTTGGCAGAAAGACATAAAGGTGTTTGTTTTCTTTTTTAGCTCAGGAAAGTGAGTCAGGCTCAAACCACTTCTCAGGCAGTTTAATGGACACTGGACCCATTGTTATATGAAAGTGATAGCAACAAATTTGGAGAAGGAAGAGGGAGATAAATGATGGAGATGAAAGACTGTGGAAATGAATTCCTGGCTGGCCAACTGATGGCCTGTGGGAGGTGATGGAACCAGACTGCTCTCTAGGTCAGCCTTGACCCACCCTGAAAGATAGCCATCAGGAAGACCCAGTCTTTGCAGGTGGTGAGAGCGCCCGACAGGCAAGCAGGAGGGTTTGGTTACTGGCTTTGTCTTGAGGTGGGCAGAAACTTGAACTTGCTATGTAATTTGAATCTTTACAGTGGTTATTTGGAGGAGTAGGGTGATAGTGTTCTTACGGCCTTTCTGAGGCAGTCGAACTGAATTGCGACGTTGGGTAAGACACTGGTTTGTGCGTCCTGTTTTTGTGTTAAAGATAAAAAGAGAAAAAAAATCAATAAAATAAAAGTAGCCAGAACGTCACATTCTTTGAGAACATTTGAAAAGAGCCCTAGTGCTCATGCTGGAATTGTGCTCTGGCACATGGTTTGAGTGTGGCCACAAGATGGCGCCACACCCCATAAAATGGCCCCAGTGGCTGTGGGAGAACTTTAGACCTTCGGGGGATGTTGGCTGGGAGAGGGATTTTAATGAGTTGATTGTTAGTCCTTTATCTACTTTGTGTGAGATAAAGGAACTCTGGAGAATCCTCATAATTTAGATCAACTAGCTCACCCAGATATCTGCTTTGCTGGTTTGTAAATTGAAATTGCCAGTCCAAAACCACTTGCCTGTTTCTTTTGTGACATCAAATACAGGTTGATGTTTCTCAAAGAGATGCATGTTTTTGAACTTCAGAGGGTTTATAATCCTGACAAAGCTTGGTGGGAGCTAGCCCATCTGAGTTTTTGATTTGTCATTCCTATTTCCGCCAGGAGAACCAGGATACTTCTCTGGAAGTTTCAGTTGACAGTGTCTCTGGACGGTACACAGGTAGAAGACCAAAGACCAGTGGTTTCTAAGGCGTTTAATGGAGCAAACTTTTTCCTCAAGTGAAACCTTGGGTTGAAGATTGACTGTAGGTTCAAGTAGGTGGGATTCAGTCTCCCCAGCAATGGCTTCAAAACCGGGGAAACTGCTGCGGGTGTAAACATACTCTTTCCTGTGGCTGGTGTTGTGGTACAGTGGGTTAAGCCACTGGCTGCCATGGCAGCAACCCCTGTGAGCACCAGTTTGAGTCCCAGCTGCTCCTCTTCTGATCCAGCTCCCTGCTAATGCATCTGGGAAAGCAGAAGAAGATGGACCAAGTACTTGGGCCCTGCTACCCATGTGGAGAACCTGGGAAGGAGGTCTAATCTCCTGGTTTCGGCCTGGCCAAGTCCTGGCTGTTGTAGCCACTTGGTAAGTGAACCAGCTGATGAGAGAACTGTCTCTCCTGTGTCACTCTTAAAAAAGAATTCTGGGGCGGGTGTTGTGGTGTAGCAGGTAAAGCTGCTGCCTCTGACACCTGCATCCCCATATGGGCACTGGTTTGTATCCTGGCTTCACTTCTGATCCAGCTTCCTGCTAATGATCAGGAGAAAGCAGCAGCAGATGGCCCAAGTGTTTGCGCTCCTGCAACCCAGGTGGGAGACCTGGATAAAGCTGGCTCTGGCCCAGCACTGGCCATTACGGCCATCTGGGAATGAACCAGCAGATGAAAAGATCTTTGTAACTTTCTTTTGATTTATTTTTTTTTAAGATTTTATTTGAGAGGTAGTTACAGATAATGAGAGGAAGAGAGGTCTTCCTTCCGTTGGTTCACTCCCCCAAATAGCCACAACGGCTGGAGCTGCGCCGATCTGAAGCCAGGAGCTTTTTCCTTGTCTCCCACATGGGTGCAAGAGCCCAAGGACTTGGGTCATCTTCTACTGCTATCCCAGGCCATAGCAGAGAGCTGAATGGGAAGAGTAGCAAGAACTGGAACTGGTGCCCATATGGGATGCCGGTGCCACAGGTGGAGGATTAACCTACTGCACCACAGCGCTGGCCCCCCTTTTTCTAAGATTTTATTTATTTATTTGAGAGGTACAGATAATGAGAGGAAGAGACAGAGAGAAAGGTATTTGTAACTTTCAAGGTAGATTTTTTTTTTTAAAAAATTTCTTTCCCAAGGGCAGGGAACTTTGTTTCACTACTGCTGTACTCCAGCAGTTGATGAATGAAGCACATTTTTCTAGACTGAACCAAACCACACAGCTTATTTGAGTCCCATTTTCTGGTTCAGGTAATTTGATTCTAAACCTATAGTAATGGTGATGGGGCCTGAGGCAGTAAGACTTCAGGAGTTACTGCTCTTGCGTAGTCACTCTAATTATGGGCTTGTACTGCAGAAGTCAAGCATGTAGTTTGTGCAACTGGATTGCAAGGTCTTTTCTACAAGTTTATTTGCATGAGCACACTGCAGAAGTCACTTCTGCCTGCGAATGGTCTCATGGTTTTGTCCAGGGGAGGTACAGTAGGATAGAAGCTTATAGCCCTTATGGCATTGAGCCTGCAGAGAAAATTCAAAATGGAAAAGGCAAAAGTTTGAGGACACTTGATTACCTCAGGAGCAGGACGTCATGTACTGGAACCCAGCAGGTGTATTTAGGCTGTCTAGCCTTTGAATAGACAGGTACTGTTGGAAGGACTGGGCTGTGCTCTGCCTTGCCCTGGGGTTTCCTGGAGGGTCCCAAGGCTTCTTCCTCTGCCCAAGGGGCTTACCCAAAAGGGAATCTGCAGTGATTCATGTTCAGAAGGAAGTACAGAGGTGAACAGTAACTTGTAGCAGAGGCACTGGGAATCCTGTGTGCGTGTGGACAAACATTACCAACAAATATCCTTCATTTGGTCAAAATTAACTTTATTGTACAGCTTTACTTCATTGGGAATTGGTAACAAAACTGGCACACCAAAGGGATACTGGAAACAGGCCTGATTAAAGAAAATACCTTGGCCAGGTAGTAGAAAGATGAGTAACAAAAGTAAACAGATGTTGGAGTTTTAAAAAAAACATTGAACGAGGTGCCACGATCTATGTGACGGAGGTGGCTTTTCTTCTAAGCTTATTTTCTCCTCTGTCAGCAGAAATGAGAAAGATCTTACCATTCTAACACTCTGATGTGTCCAGCTGTGGCCATGTTGGAGACCACATAGGTATGGGCTGAGGGGAGAAGGCCACAGTGGTTCAGGTACTTTGAGGACGTGGGCTTGGCACAATAGAGCCTCACTGGTGTTTGCTCAGACTGCGTAGCCTGGGCCCAAAGCCAGCTGGCTTGGCAAGCTGGTGATGCCACATCTATACCTAGGTGGCAGGGAACAGGAATGGGGTGGGATCAGCACCTGTTCTGTAGTGAGGAAGCTAACGCAGAACTCTTCAATTCTGCTTCTCATTTTTATACTCAGGCCTTGTTAAACCAGTTCTCCAGCCGGGCACAACCTGTCCTAATGGGAAAGATCTGAACTCTGCAACCTGTTCTCCCCCAACTGTTTTCCCTCTTTCCAGCCCTGACAAACTCTAAGCATTCCTAATAGCCTTGCCGCAGGTGACACGTTGAACCCTAGCCCAGCATTATCTTAGGACCCTCATCTGGACCTGCCATTCCCTCCTAAAACTAAGTGCTTTTCCTTTTAGTCAATGTTCTCTTCTCCCAGTATCCAAAATGGCTGACATGCTTAGAGTAAATCATCCCCTCACCTGGACCAGAAGGCTGGGTGTGGGGAGGGAAGAGAGACAGTGAGTGGTAATGCTAGGCCCTGGGACTTCAGACAAGATCCCCAGGCCTTATTCCTATGTTTGCTCTCTGAAGAGATGCAGGAAACTCTTCAGAACCATGAGGTTAGAAAATTGTTTCCGTTAGACTGATATGCATTTTAAGAATTTATCCTAAATTCCTATCTGGTCTCCAGGAGCGTAAGATACCCAAACAAGACAGGACAGAGTAAGAAGCGTAACTACAGCAACGACGACAAACTTGAATCTTCCTATCTGGATTTAGAACTGTGAAGCAATCGTCTCCAAGCCACTGCTGCTGCTCCAAGGCAGTGCTGTCTAGGTTAGAGTTCCTGCTCATAGCCTTGTACTTTGCCTGAACTCGTGTCCTTCCTCTTGGCTGGTAACACCTATCTCCCAATTTGGTCACTTGTGCTAATAATCACTTTCTTAAACTTCAGATTACAGGTTGGGAGGCAAAAGGAAACCACAGGGAGGTAGGGCCTGATATTCCCTTCAGACTCTGGGTGGAACATGAGACCACAATCCGTGGTGCTAGAGACCTTCTGGGCCACTTGGGAAACAAACAAGGCTTTTCCCAGCGGCCTGGGACGGACACAGGTCGTACCCCTGGGGCTGCACTCCAGGCACTGCCTGGAGCCCGGGAAGGCTGCTGAGAAGTGGGCCAGTAAGGTGAGTTCCCCTTAATCTGAGTGGAATTTTAGTGTTAAGTCTCTCCCCTTTTTAATGACCTCCTGGTTACCTTTTGCTCACCAAGCATCCTGCATCCATCAAGCTAGAGAAAGGAAACAAAACTCATTCCCCTGCCCCAGCAGCACCTTCCTTCCTCCTGGGGGCTCACGTCTCCCCGGACCCCTGCTTGGGCCTTTACACCTAGAAGATGAAGGGGAAGAGTATGAGCCTTTCTGTCCCCAAACCCACCCCCTCTGAATATGAGAACTGTTAGTGGCATTGTCCCTTAAGCTCCCTGGCATTGGCTCCAGGGTCCTCCTCTTTTCTTCCCGACGGGAGGGGGAGCTGGTGTTTATTGGTGAAGATAGGCGTCCAGCCAGAGCTGCCCCGACTCCTTCAGAGAGCTGCAGGACAGAAGAGGGGCAGATGGTGAGGGAGGCAGCCGGTGCAGGAGTGACGGCGCTGCAGCCCTGGGCTTCAAGACCTTTGTCCTTTTATAGTGGCTTTCCTCCCCCTCCACTTCTTGAAAAGGTAGCTTGGGCCATGGTCACCTCCACTCCAGACTGGGAAACCTTTATGTTTCCCACATACGCTTGTCACCTTTCTCCTCGCCCTACCCTTTCCCCCACTTACAGTGCCCTTCTTGGGCCCAGATACTCACTGGACAATGTCGGCAAAGGCTGAGAGCAGGGGCTTGGACTGGTACTCTATGCCGTGCTTGGCACACAAGGACTGCACCAGGGGCGCCACTTTGTGGTAGTTGTGCCGGGGCATCGTGGGGAAGAGACTCGAGAGAGAAGAGGACAGTCGGTGGCTCCTGCTGTCCCGCCTGCTCCTTGCCCACCTCACTTGACACCCCCCCACGCCCCTGGGATCTGGCCTCCCCAGCCATCCCACTCACTGGTGCTCGATCTGGAAGTTGAGGTGCCCACTGAACCAGTCGTTGAAGAAGGACTTGTGGACGTTGCACGTGGCCTGGAGCTGGAGGTCAGAGAAGAGCATGTCCCTGAGCCAGCCCAGCCTCCTCCAAGTACAGGGTGTGGGGTCATCCCTAGTCATTCCCTTCACGTGGCGGCAGGAGACAAGCCTCAAGCTGATGAGGCAATGCTGTTTGGGGGCCTTTTTTTTTTTTAAAAAATATATATCACTACCTCTTCCATCTTTTTCATTAGTTGTGTCATGCTGGGATCTTCCAGGCAACCGTGCCTTACCTGGGTGGAAACCCAGTCCTTGTTCTGGTCATGATCAATGTGCATGGGGATGTGGTTCATCTGTGTCACCCACACAAACCAGTTGCTCTCCAGGAACCTGTTGTCCAAAGCACACACACCAAAAGAGTACAGGCAGAGCCCAGGGCTCTCATTCCCCGTCTACCCTCCACACCAACTCCCAAACCCCTGCTGCTGCCCCCAGGCCCACACCCCCACCGAATTCTACCTGACAATGAGGAAAAGGCCCAGGAAGCCTTTCAGCCCCAACAGCGGCACGTATGTGAGGAAGATGCGGACGTAGAAGGTGACCATCCAGGCCAAGTCCTGCAGCGGCAAAGGCGGAGGGCACAACTGCCACAAAGCAGCTCTTACCTTTCACTGCGCCTGTTTCTGCACCTGGCACAGTCCTGCAGGTACCCGACTGCAACACTCAGCTGCCCCGCCCTGTGATACCCAGTGCCCCTGTCCCTTTCTACTACCCCTGGCCCTCGTGGCCTCTCACCTTTATAAGGAACAAGACCCATCCGGGGCCTCCCCACCTCCAGCTCCTCCCCAACCCATCTAAACCCTGCTTGCTGCCACATGCTCAGGACCACGGCTCAGCCCAACCAAATCTCTAAACCCTCTTCGTACACCGAACCAAGCACCATACTCTTGCCCTGACACACAATGTGTCTGGTGGCCTGTTTTACCCCTTACTTCCTAGCCTCTCCGCTCACTTCATCCTCCCCCTCCCCAACCTCTCTCTGCCTGTCCTCCAAGGCCAGCTAGAAAAGCAATTTCAAAACGGCAGCCACAGGGCCCTTTTGGGATCCCCACAACCTGTTGCCCGTACCTCTTAAGGGATCAACCACGGTCAGCTTCATCAAGTTTGCTGAGAGTGGGTTCATCTCCCTCTTCCCTGGCTTCATGCCCAGCACAAGAGCCTCAGGAAACACTGGCTGTAGGCAACCAGGGACTAAGGCCAGGCTGCCTGCTGAGCCCTGTCACTCCGCCCTACCCAGAGATAAGGATCTACACCTGGTTCCATTGCTCTGCTCTAAATTAGGCCTGGAGTCAGTCTCCGCTTCCCTTGGGAGATCCCTTCCCCTCCCCAGACAACTGGATGTGTAACTCTGGGGCCAAGGGTACTCACCACCCACTTCTTCCGCTGGAAAACAAAATAGAAAATATACCACTGGAAGTAGAGAGGCAGCAAGGCTGGGGGCCCAACTGGGAGAGAGACAGAGACAGGAGGCATGAGCAGTGGCAGTGAGTGGTGGGGAGACAGCTTCTGGTAGGGGGTACCTCCTCTGCCATCCCCTCCTGTGGCCCCTCCAACTGCCTCAGCACCCTGCAAGCCCCTGACACCAGCAGGCAGTGAAGGTGGCTGTGGGTGTCAGCCTGGGGATGCCAGGGAGGGCAAGGGGTGGGAGTGACATTCTTCTCCAGGGAAGAGGGCAGCGGGGGAATGTGCTCTGCTCCCGTGCCTTGAAAAGGGCACTTCCGGGTGTTGCACTGGACACGCTGTATCCTGCCCCAGGCCTTCCTCTTGGCCCCCAGCCTGCCCCTCCTGTCATCTGCCCTGTGTTCCTGGCTGCTCCACCATGCAGGTGCAGAAACGGGGGCAGGAAGGTGTGTGTTCAGCAGGATCCTAGGGACCCTTCACAGGCTGAGCCCACCTCCTTGGACGTGGGGTGGGGGGAGGGTGTGGGCCTGTGCAACCCCAACCTCAAGCCCTAGAGGTCGGCTGTAAGAAGGAACAGAGGGACTTTTCAAAGAAAACTATGAACTGAAGAAGTGGATTCCATTTCCTTCTCTTATCCTTTCTCTGCAGTACCTTGCGGTTACCTGTGACCTCCTGCAGAGCCTACCGTGGCTCCTCTATCTCCAGGCCCAGGACTCTAAAATTCCTTCTTCAGGAAGTCTGCTCCGCCCTCCCGTCCTGTCCACCTTTCTTTAGAAGGGGTAGTTGGGAAGAGGCAGTTACGATAAACTTCAAACCAAAGTGGATCACAGGACTTCCTCCCTCCCTGCCTTTAGCGATTTGAAATTTTACGGAGTTTAAAGCTCCACATTGAAGCATTAGGGGAAGACTTTTAAAGCAGTCTTCAGAAAGTGTATAAGACAGCCAAGGGACATCTGGCTTCAGCAGCTCCTTCACTGCCTCCTCAGGCCTCCCGCCCACAGCTGTTTGTACTCTCGTTCTCCCAGGGGGCTGAACTGGGCCCGCCAGGTCACTCTGACCCAGATCTCCGAAGCTGAAGACGAAAGCTTAATTAGGAAAGCCCCACCTGACCAGGCAGATTCTGAGTCAATTAAAAGGCGTTGACACTGGGGTTGCGGGAGCTGGTCTGCCACAATCTCAAGGCCTTTTAATTCAACATTAGCCTAATGGTCAGCTTTGCTCAGCAGCGATGGCAAACTGTGCCCATACAGTGAGGAACCAAGTCTGGGGGCAGAGTCCTTTCTCTGCACTTTGCCCGAGAATACCACAGTCCCTTGGAAGAGTGGCTTCCGCCTCACACCCCTTCAGCACCCCCCCGTGCAGCAACTCCTGGGTTGGTTCCAGACACTCACTCAGGAAGAAGTACTTGTGCTGATGGTTGTATGGCATGTACTTTTTCTTCTGTTTCCCAAGCTGTGAAAAGAGCAAGCAAGTCAGCATTAATAGCTGCCTCTTCCCCCTTACGACCTTGGCTTCTCCCTGCTCAGAAGTTTAGGCCTACTGCAGGAGCTATAAGCTTAGAAGTGCTACTGGAAGCTCCTAGCAGGCCCAGCCTTACTTCCAGCACAGGGAACACGAAGCCATGGGCTGCATCTGTGGAATCTGCCAAGGCCTGTAGCTCAGTGGTCCACGTCCAGAAGAGGCTGTGCACAACACAGAGTCTCCAAGTCCTCAAGACTCCTGTGTTGCTCCAATACCTCTGTCATACGAATTCCAGGCCCAAGCCCCACTGCCGTCTTCCTTCCTCCCATGTGGTACCTTTCAGAGTCTCCATGGAAAACTATTTTCACCCCTAGACAGGAAACTACTCCCTCTATGTCCAGCCTCTAACTGCCCCAGCCCCCAAAATCTTCTGGTCTCCTGACTTCAACATGAACTTTACAAAGATCCCAGGGTTGGCGCTGTGGCACAGTGTGCTAGGCCTCCGCCTGCATCACTGGCACCCCATATGGGCGCTGGTTCAAGTCCCAGCTGGTTTTCTTTGGATGCAGCTCTCTTCTATGGCCTGGGAAAGTAGCAGAAGATGGCCCAAGTGATTGGGCCCCTGCACCCACGCAGGAGACCCAAAAGAAGCTCCTGGCTCCTGGCTTTGGATCAGCCCAGCTCCAGCTCTTCTGGCCATTTAGGCAGTGAACCAGCAGATGGAAGACCTCTCTCTCTCCCTCTCGCTGTCTGTCACTCTGCCTCCCAGATAAATAAATACATAAATCTTTAAAATAAAAATTCCTTGCCAGCTATGCTGTGCTTAGCATGTTTGTGCAAAGGATACCAAGAACAACTTCGAGATCTGAAGGTTCTGGCAAAGTTCTCCCTGGTGGTTGGTGGTTGTAAGTGTAGCTGCTGAAGAGATAAGCTGGAACTTCCAGGTCAACCGGCCAGCATAGAACCCCAGCGTGGCTCACAGAAACCTGACACTGAAGCTCTGCTGTCTCACTCCACGCCTCCTCTCCTGCATCCCCAGGGCTGAGGAGGAGCACAGAACCCACAGCAGAATGCTGGCGCATCCTCTCAGCACCCACCTGCTGTGTTCACGACTTGTTTCTAAAAAAGGAGATTGTTTACTTGAAAGGCAGGGTGACAGGGAGAGGGAAGAAACAGGGAGAACTAAGGGGAGGGAAGAAGGGAAGGAGAGGAGGTTGGCCTTCCATCTGCTGGTTCGTTCTCTAAATATCCCAGCAGCTAGGATTGGGCCAGGCCGAAGCCAGGAGCCAGGAACTCCATCCAGGTCTCTCCCATGTTGGTGGCAGGGAGCCAAGTACTTGGGCCATCAACCACTGGTACATCAGCAGGACGTAGAGACAGCCAGGACTCTAATGGCACTCTGAGAAGGCATGTGGGTGCCCCAAGCAGCAGCTTAACCCGCTGTGTCTCAATGCAGGCCCCAGGACATTTATTGAGAGCCGATCTCAAGGAAGCATTCCTTCTACATTCATGAGTTCATTCAACAACTACTGGAAATCCTACTGTGTGCCAGGCCCTATTCTGAGTACTGAAGATTCAGAGGTGAACAATACAAAGTTCCTGCCCACAGGAGCTTATAACCTGAGAAGATGAAGTTGGTAGTAAGTCCACATAGAGGTCAAGGTAATTTACAGATTAAAAACAGGAAAACATGGGCCGGCGCCGTGGCTCACTTGGTTAATCCTCCGCCTGTGGCGCCAGCATCCCATATGGGCGCCAGGTTCTAGTCCCAGCTGCTCCTCTTCCAGTCCAGCTCTCCGCTGTGGCCCGGGAGGGCCGTGGAGGATGGCCCAAGTGCTTGGACACCTGCACCCGCATGGGAGACCAGGAGGAAGCACCTGGCTCCTGGCTTCAGATTGGCGCAGTGCTGGCTGTGGCGGCCATTTGAGGAGTGAACCAACGGAAGGAAGACCTTTCTCTCTGTCTCTCTCTCTCACTGTCTAGCTCTATCTGTCAAAAAAAAAAAAAAAAAAAAAAAAAAAAAAAAAAAAACACCAGGAAAACATTACAGCAAGTGATGTTTTGGTGAAGTGAAGCAGTCTAGCCTCCCTTAGATGCTGACATCTGAACTTGGACCTGAATCATGAGAAGGATCAGCAATGCAAAGATTCAGGGGAACATTCAAAGTCAAAGGAATGGCTTTACCAAGGCTCTTGTGATGTTCAAGACCAGGAAAACCAGACAGGGGCCAGAAAGTATATGATCTTAGGAAGTCCCAGTGAGGCCTCACTAAGGAGTCTGGGTTTTAGTTCAATGGCAATGAGAAGTCACTGGAAGGCTTTCTATGCTTTGTGCTTTAGAAGGCTCCCTCTGGCTGGAGATGTGGAGAATGAACTGCAGGCTGCAGGTACAGTCTTAGGGAGACCAGTGAAGATGCCAAAGCTAATTCAGACAAGATGGACCAGACCCAGTGGGGCTGGAGAAGCTGACAGACCTGAGATCTGTTTAGAAGGCAGTGTGAACAAGGCTTGCAGTGGTGAGTCATACCACCCTAGGCAAGACTAATGGAAAGGGAAACCTGGAAGAAGAGCACCCTTCTTTTTTTGTGTGGTGGGTGGGACACACCCCTGGCCTCCCATCTTGGAACTGTGAAGGGAAAGTGCTCTATCTGTTGCTGCCTCCTTGAATGGCAACCAAATGCCACTATGACCTTATTGACTTTGCCCCATTTGTTTAGATCCTTGGAGGTCAGAAGGGTTCTAATTAGGGCAAAGTCCTTCTTGTCCGAGAGTTGGGAGGCTCTGGGTGGATGCCACTGTGTCAGCATAGGCATCAATGTCAAATAATCTGCATCCAGAGGAAATGAACCAAGCCCTAAGCAGCCTGCAGGCATTCTCTAATAGGCAGCCTATGCTCAGCCTCATAGCTGGGGGGATGGGGCGAGAAGGAACAAAAGCCTATTTTGGGTCCTAAATCAGTCTCTACTTTTGATGTCTGTAGACAGGAGTTTCCCGAAAACCCTAAATCAAGAAGCAATGAGGGCAGTAGTGTGCGACAGTTCCCTTCCACTTAGCTCCCCACCTCCCTACCTTGACCTTTTAAAAAGACTCTAGTGACAACAGAAGTGCTACCAAGAGCCCAGTGCTGTGCCCACACTGCCCTAGAAGCAGCCATTGGAACCAAGTGAGGTCAAGGCTGTCTCATGGTCAGCATACTGTTGACCATAACAACATTGGATGTGTACACACCAGAGCAGCCCATGCTTAGGAGGTGGGAACACGAGACCTGTATGGACAGATGGGGCATAAGCCTCAAGCTATGAGCTCCTCGTGCTAGGACAGCCAGTGCTGCCAAGGCCCTCCCAGAGTCCTCATGGCTGGAGGGGAAGGAGGAGGAGAGCCAGGCTACCTTGAACTCGTGCCTGGAACTGAAACTTGTCCAACAACAGTTTAATTCCTGGCAGGCTGAAATGTCATAAAGTGGGGGTGCAGGAGCTGGTAGAACTGAGCTGGGGTTTTAAACCAACTTTTCAAAGTACTCTGTTGGCCACTGAGAACCTTCTACTGCCTTAGACTTAATAAAAGTTCACTAGATCTCTGTCCCCAAGCACTCTTCCTTCGGCTTATGATTTCTGCTCACAACCTCAGATGGCATTTCTTTTTTTTTTTTTTTTTTTGACAGGCAGAGTGGACAGTGAGAGAGACAGAGAGAAAGGTCTTCCTTTGCTGTTGGTTCACCCCGCTAATGGCCACCGTGGCCAGCAGGCCGGCGCACCACACCTATCTGAAGGCAAGAGCCAGGTGCTTATCCTGGTCTCCCATGGAGTGCAGGGCCCAAGGACTTGGGCCATCCTCCACTGCACTCCCTGGCCACAGCAGAGAGCTGGCCTGGAAGAGGGGCAACCTGGACAGAATCCGGTGCCCCGACTGGGACTAGAACCTGGTATGCCAGCGCCGCAAGGCGGAGGATTAGCCTATTGAGCCGCGGCACCGGCCAGATGGCATTTCAAACCCAACTCTGACGGCCCTGGAGATCAATCTGTGATCAGATGGTGGGAAGTAGTTGTTTCTCAGTATCTGTGGAGGATTGGTTCCAGGACCCCCACCTTGAGAATACAAAAATCTGTAGATGCTGTAGTCCCTTTCCCCCCAGGTATGACTTGCAATGCTTAGTAGAACATAAGTGCTATGGAAATGGTTGTTTTATTGCACTGCTCAGGGAAAAGAGCCTGTACATGTTTGGTACAGATGCACTTTTTTGCTTCCTAATATTTCTGCTCTGTAGATGGTTGAATCCACAGATGCAGAACTGATGGTTATGGAAGACTGACTACTCAGTGAATGAATATTCTAGGTACTGGAGCATCAAAGAACAGTCAGACAGTCCAGCCCTGGATGGGGAGACTGTGACAAAAACAGGATCTCCAAGTATAAAAAACAGAAATACTAAGTGCAAGGGGAGTGACTGCCTGGGGCAGGAGTGTCAAAAAGTACCACTCATTCTCAATAAGCATGAGCAGGGCCTTGCACAGTTCCTCTCTGGGTCCTTCGCAGCATGTGTACTACATGCAATAACTAATCTGTGCTAGAAGTCCCTCTAGGAAGGACAAGGGATTCTGTTCTAGGCAGTCCTGCTTTAAATAATCTGTTGCCACCCAGAACTTCCGAACAGCAAGGGGCCCAGCCAGCCCGTCATCCTCTGATGTCTTACTACACTGACAACATTGTGATCATTTGTCACAAAGCCCTCTGTGCTGCCTGCTTTCCATTCTCTGAGCCATTTCCAGTGATACCTTTGCTCACCTCCACTGAGAGGATCTTCCCCAAGGCAAAGAAGAAGGGATGCATGTTGATATCTGGGTCTTTGCGAAAGCAGTTGGGCTTGGCGTGGTGCTGGAAGTGCATGTGGTTCCACCAACTGGCAGGGGCGCCCTGTAGAAAACCAGATATGAGTACAAAAACCTACTGTCTCTCACTTCCCAGTTCCAGGTGGCCCCTCCCCATCTCACGAACCTTCAGGTGGCCAATCACAAAATGATGCAGCAAGTGGTTCCACGTGGAAGTGCTGAAGACGGACAGGTGCCCAAAGTCATGCTGTAGCCAACCAGCCTGGGCCTGGGGGGAAAGGTTCATGCTGAGAGCAGCTCACCAGCCCAGCATCCCCTCCAACCTCTCTTCCTTCTTCCACTCAGGGCTGAGATAGCCGCACCACCCCTACCAGGCAAATCAAGAAAGAAATCAGGAAACCCAGCTCCTGAGTCTGGCTCCACCCCTGACTGAGACAAATCACGACGCTTTCTGTTGTTCTTCACTTTGCCCAGCTCTGAAGTTCCAGGACTTATGACAGGGAGAAGACTCAGTGGTGAGCAGGCTTGCTAAATGGCTTCTGACACCCAACTATTAGTTCCCAAACATTATCAGCACATTGGGCAATGTCGGTGGCAGTAGGGAACCAAGCTTTGCTGAGAAAGCAGGATCTTAGTTCTCGGCACACCTGGGCTATCGTGGGACCTGAACTTGAAGTTAGAGAACAAATTCCCCAGGAATGGAATCCTGGAAGAAACAGCTAGAGGCAGTGAGAGAAACAAAGCGGTCCATGTGGCGGAAGAGCAGATAAAAGCCACACACAGTGGAATGTATTTTCTTTTTCTGAAGCAACTGTCCCAAGTATCTTCAGATCTGCCCTGGTCAGAGCACAAGGTTTCTTAGCCTCTGAAGGGTACAGAAAGCTTCCTCCATTGATGGTGAGCATGGCTGCGCATCGACAAGCCACAGGTCTCACCTGAACCACACTGAGCAGCACTGCAGAGAGGAGGAAGGGCACTAAGGACGTCCCAAAGACCCAAAGAGTGAGCCAGGCAGCAACATCCAGCAGCAGGATGTGCAGCAGGTACAGCAGGAAGAAGATGTGGTTGGTCTTCATGAGCCCCATCCGCTCCACTGTGGCCCGCAGCTCCCGGAACTCATCAGTCAGCTCTTTCTGTGGAAGAATGGGGAAGAAGGAGGAGCTGTTACTCTTCCCAGCTGCAACCCAGCCCTGCTGGAGACAACGGCTCTCTCAGGCTCATGGACTTCCCACTGAGACAGCTGCGAGAAGTCCAGTCCTAGGCCGAGATACCACATCAATAAATAAGGATGACCAGAGGAGGTGCCCTGGGATCCTTACAGTTAAGCAGACTTGATTCCGGTCCCCATTCTGCCACTGACTACCCATGTGATCCCTGGCCTCTTGCCCGCCCTCGTGTATGAATTCATACTTGGCATATACTAAGTCTCATATCGATGATGATGGTGGTGGTAATGGTGATGACCACCTTGAGGTGTGCTAGGATTCCTGTTCCCCTGGGCCTGGAACCCCACGTGTAAGAGAAGGCAGGATCTTGAGACTCCAGAGAGCTACTGACTGGTCCCTGTCCCTCGCCACCCCATCTAGGTTTGCTTCCTGGCCCCTCCCCTTCAACAGCCAAGTCTCCAAACAGCAAACAGGGTCTCACGTTCTTGGTGGGCTCAAAGCTGGGCTGCTCCGGAGAAAGTTCCCCAATGAGGAGAGAGTTCATGTATTTCCTCACAAGGCCCTTGTCGATGTGGAATGCCACAAAGGGATCCTGCAAGCAAGAGAAGACAGGTGAGGGCTAGCCCCCGTTCCCCGCACTCCTGCTGGCCAGAAAGAAGGGTGAAGCTACGCTGAAGCCCAGACCACTTCTCTTCCCCGAGATGCCCTGGGGGTGTCCACAACTGGAGCTCACCCAGCATCTGTATTCCATTAAGAATGTCGCTGTGATGGCCCAGAGAGACAGCCTGGACTGGCCTTTCCCCGGGGGGTTTTTGGGGACAACTTCTGCCCATGATTTAGTCAGATGAAACAGAAGGACTGGGTGGGATTTCCAACAAGTCTCTCCAGTCTGTGAGCCCTGGTTCCCCACAAACTGCGATGAGGTGGTCTCCTTATGCCCGAATAGGGGTTACTTTCCAATCTTTCCCTCTTCCCTTTGCTGCTGTACTGGAGAGGTGCCCTGGCCACCCCACGGCCCCAGGGTAGCTAATTCTGGTTCAAATCCATTGCTACCAGGTTCCCGTTGGCAGGTCGAGCGCCCCCACCCCCCTACCCCGGGACACAGCATGGTGGGCGGGGGCCAGGGCGGAGTCAACAGCCGGTGGTACCACACATCACCACCAATCGCCGCGCGTGCCGCCGCATCTCTGGCCCCAAATCCCACTGCGGGAAACCCAAGTGTCCGGCTTCGAGTGCGCAGGCGCAGGCCCACGCCTGCGCTGTCGCAGCGGCAGTGGCCCGGACTCCGGCGTGGACACCGCGGTGCCCGGTGCAGGCTCTGTTTTCGCCCTCTAGGCGGGCTGCCTCGGATCGAGGAGCGGGTCCTCGTCCCACAGCGTCTAAGCTCGGCCGAGACCCACCGGGAAGCCCGGAGACCCGACGCGCTCTGGGATGTTAGAGCGATGGTCGGGGGCCCTGGAGAGGGAAATGCGGTGACGCCAACGCCCCCCAGGGAGGGCCCGGCGCTCCCACCCTGGGCGCTCCCGCCTTAGCCCCGAGAGCGGGTGGTCCGCAAAGCAGCGGGGCTGGGGCTGGGGCTGGGGGGGGGCGCTGCCTCTGCAGCGAGGCTCCGGGGAGCGGGGGACGCGACCCCGGAACAGAACAGCCCTCCTCAGCGCCGGCCTGCCGCGGAGTGGCCGCCCGCACCGCCAGGATCCCCGCTCAGTGTGTGCATGTGCCGGCGCCCCACCTCCATCACGCCGCCGCCGCTTCTCCCAGTGCGCCCGCCCCGCCGGCCCCTCGGGCCACTGCAGCCCCCTCCCCACCCTTCCCGCTTCACACCACGCAGGGGGGCCCGTTACAGCCCCTCTCCTGCTCCCTGCGGCGCCCCAGCTCGCGAGCCGGGTAAGCGTCGAGGCGAGGCCGCGGGCCGGGCCGGGCCTCCGTCCCTCTGACACGGAGCCCCCCTTCCCTCGCGCCTCCCGATCCCGGCCGCACCAACGCTGCCTGCGCCATGCATTCTCGCTCCCCTGCTTCGGCCCAGCTTCGGGTCGTGAGGCGCCCGGGGGCTGCGGGCCGAATGCACGGGTTGGCAACGCAAGTCCTTTGTGTGCGTGCGCACGTTGCGGGACTCCATCCCCACCCGTCGGCCTGGTTTCCAAAGCCCCTCTCCTGCCCTGGCCACCTGCGTCCACGGGACTCCCAACCACCCGACAACAGGTTGGCCGGGGCGCCCAGATCTGTCGGTGTTCGGCCCCCAGGATGCCAAACTTCCTGTCTCCCGCGCAGGCAGCCTCGGGCTGCAGCCGCCCGGCCCCGCCCCCGCCCGGCGCCGCTCACCGTGGCATCCTGCCCGGCGTAGTGGCTGATGACCCGGGAGCCCCCCGGGTGCCGGCGGACGAACTCGCTGATGTTGTACACCTTCCGGTCGATCACGAGCCACCGCTCCTTCTCGCGTCCGGAGTGCAGTGCCACCTCGTCCCAGGTGAAGTAGCGCGGGCTGGGCCCCTCGGCCGGGGTCTCGGGGGCCATCGCCGGCCTGGCGACGCCGCGCGCCGGCCCGGCAGGGGCTTGTCAGGCGCGCGCGCTCGGGGCCCGCGGGGTAGCGCACGGCGGTCTCGCGGGCTCCGGGAGCGGGTCCGCTGGCGCGCGCCCGTGCGCCGTCGCCCGCGCGCCGGGTTTTCAGCACCCGCGGAGCGGACCGCCGAGCCGGGCAGCGCGCGCTCCTATTGGCTGCGCCGCGTGGCGCGGGGCGCAGGCCCCGCCCCGCGCCGGTCCTCGGGGGCGGGCGCCGGCGGGGGGACCTGGACGACCGCAGGCTCCTTAAAGGGGTCGCCCTCGTTCCACTTCCTGAGCGGCGTCCGGCGGAATGCTGAGGTGACGGCTGCCTGAGGGCGGCGCGGACGGAATAACGGTTCCCGGCGCGGCCGGGCTGCCGAGGCAGAGGGCCCTCAGGGAGTAGGCGTTGGAAGTGGGCGGAGCTCTGGGTGGACTTAACAGAATTTATTTGCGCAAAGATCTCCTTTGACCTGTCCACTAAAGATTCGGAGCGTTCCTCCTCAGCAAGGCGGGCAGCCGCGGTTTGTAGGAAAAAAAAAAAAAAGTAGCATCAGCAACAGGCAGAAGCGGCCTGATTGGCTGCGGTTCCCGGCTTCTCCTTATTTGGAAATGGCCGGGCCGTTCGCAGCCCGTGATTGGCTGAGAGCTCGGCCGCCGCGATTGGCCGGGACTCCGCTGCTGGGCACGGGAGCGCGCGGTTCCGTTCGGTTGCAGGCTGCGTGTTTACCTCGGTTCTGGTTCCTTGACTAGAAGGGTAGCTGTGAGGCCAGATTGAATTTAACAGTTCCCAGCGCTTTTTTTTTTTCTTAAGTTGAGAGATAAAATCGAATGCATCATGTACAACATGTAGCGAAGTATACTTGTGTATATGTTGTGGAATGGTTAAATATAGCTAATTATGCATGACCTCACATAATTAGGATGTTCGTGGCGAGCTTACTCAAAGTGCAGTTTCTTTTTGCCGTTTCGACGACCACGATATGTGGTCACTAACTATAGCTCCCTTGCTGGCCAGTCCATCTCTTGAACTTTCTCCTCCTGTAAGCGATTATATGTCCTCTGACCACTCTCTAACCAGTCCAGTTTTTGGTAACCACCATCTACTTTCTACTTCTATGAGATTAGAGGTTTTTTTCATTTGAAGATTTTGTATTGATTTGAAAGGCAGAGTAACAAAGAGTCAGAAATTTTCCATCTGATGATTCACTCCCAGAATCTGCAACAGCCAGATCTGGGCCAGCCTGAAGCCAGGAATTCCATCCTGGTCTCCCACATGGGTTGGCAGGAGCCCGAGTACTTGGGCCATCTTCCTCTGCCGCCTCAGGAGCATTAGCAGGAAGCTGGCTCAGAAGCAGAGCAGCCAGGAATGGAACTGGCAGGCCAGTGTGGGATGCTGGCATCCAAAGCTGCTGCTTAGCCCGAGTCAGACCCTTTGAGATCAGTCTTTTTCAGTCCATGGATCAGTGAGATCATGTGGTGTTTGTCTCTCTGTCTATAGCAAACTTCTTTAACATAACGTCCTCTGGTTTTATCCATGTTGTTGCAAATGACAAGATTTCATTCTTTTTTATGGCTGAATACTAGTCCATTGTGTATATGTACACCACATTTGCTTTATCCCTTCATCCATTTGCTTGTGGACACTTAGATTGAGGTCACATCTTGGCTATTTTGAATCATGCTGGGAAAAAACAAGGGAGTACAGATGTATGTTCAATATACTAATTTCATTTCCTTTGAATACATAACCTCTGGTGGGCTTGCTGGATTATATGACAGTTCTATTTTTAATTTTTGGAGGAATCTCCTTACTGTTTTCCATAATTTACATACCTATCAACAGTGTAGGGGTTTCTTTTTGGCCAACCTTTGTTATGTTTGACACCTCATTGTGACTTTGATTTGCATTCTCCTGCTGGTTGAGCATTTTTATCATATACCTGTTAGCCATTAATATGTCTTCTTTTGAGAAATATCTAATCAGGGCCAGCGCCGTGGCTCACTTGGTTTATCCTCCGCCTGTGGCACTGGCATCCCATATGGGTGCCAGGTTCTAGTCCCAGTTGCTCCTCTTCCAGTCCAGCTCTCTGCTGTGGCCCGGGAGGGCAGTGGAGGATGGCCCAAGTGCTTGGGCCCTGCACCCGCATGGGAGACCAGGAGAAGCACCTGGTTCCTGGCTTTGGATCGGCGCAGCACTGGCCATAGCGGCCATTTGGGGGGTGAACCAACAAAAGGAAGACCTTTCTCTCTGTCTCTCCCTCTCACTGTCTGTAACTCTACCTGTCAAATAACAAAAAAAGAAATATCTAATCAAATCTTTGCCCATTATAAAATAAATCGATTTGTTTTCTTGCTAGTGAGTTATGTTTGAGTTCCTTTTATCTTTTGGAATATATCAGGAACCTAGCTTGCAAATGTTTTCTCCTACTCTATAGGTAGTCTCTTCACTTTGTTGTTTCCTTTGCTGTGCTGATGCTTTTTAGTCTGATGTAACCCCACTGGTTTATTTTTGCTTTTGTCAACTCTGTTTTTGAGGTCACATCAGAAATTCATTGCCTAGATTGAAGGCATGGAGTGTTCCCTCTATGTTTTCTTTTAGTAGATTCATAGTTTGGAGTGTTACATTTAAGTCTTTAATCCATTCTGCATTGGATTTTGTATATGATGACAGATAAGGGTTTAATCTCATTGTTCTTCATGTAGTTATGCACTTTTTTTTTTTTTAGCACGAGTTACTGAATAGACTATTATTTTTGAAAGATTGGCCAAAGCCTTGGGCACTGGACTTCTGTGATCTCAGTGTGGAATTCATAATTTGCAATGTCAGATGAATTGGATGATTCCTTTTGCTCTCTTCATATTTTTATACATCATGACACCTCACAAATGAAACCATATTTTTTAAAAAAGATTTATGTATTTATTTATTGGAAAGGCAGAATTGCAACAAAAGAAGGAGAGAGAGATCTTCTATCCCAAATGGCTGCAACAAAGGGTCTGGAACTCCATCCCGGTTTCCCACGTGTGTGCCAGGGTCCAAGAACTTGGGCCATCTTCCTCTACTGTCCCAGGCTCATTAGCAGGGAGCTGGAGTAGAACTGGAGAATCCAGGACTTGAATTGGAAAATTATATGGGATGTCAGTGTTGCAGGTGGCTGCTTAACTCACTGTGCCACAATGCTGGCTCCAAATGAGACCATTTGATGTACAAAGAATATCTGCAAAGGAGTAATTAAAACTTAGGGTCCAGCGCATCAGGGAGTTTATTATATCAGAAAAATAATACCAAGAAACTGATGTTTGATCCTTAACAGAAGTCTCTCTGAACTGTATTGAGCAAAATCAAATGAAAATTTAGGCAAGAAAAATAGTTTAACAGGCTTAGAGCCAATTGGTCATAGTATTTTTTTTTTTTTCGGGACATGCTGGCGATTAAGGACCACAGTTTGCTGTGAAATGATGTGATTTAAAGAAGTATCCTGAAGCAGGTGTTTGGCCTACAGGATCTGGTTCCCAGCTGTGCTTCCAATTCCAGCTTCCTGCTATGGGAAACAACAAGTGATGGCACAAGTAGTTGGGTCCCTGATACCCACATGAGAGACCTAGATTAGAAGTCCCTGGCACCTGACTTCTGGCTCTGATACTCCCTCCCTATCCCTTTGCCTATCAAATAGGCAAATAAATAATTTTAAAATGTTCCCAGTAGGGACTGGCGCTGTGGCATAGCAGGTAAAGCCATCACCTGCAGTGCCGGCATCCCATATGGGCGCCGGTTCAAGTCCCAGCTGCTCCACTTCCAATCCAGCTCTCTGCTATGGCCTGGGAAAGCAGTAGAAGATGGCTCAAGTGCTTGGGCCCCTGCTCCATGTGGGAGACTCGGAAGAAGCTTCTGGCTCCTGGCTTCAGATAGGCCCAGCTGCAGCCACTGCAGCCATTTGGGGAGTGAACCAGTAGATGGAAGACCTTTCTTTCTGTTTCTTCTTCTCTCTCTCTGTCTCTAATTCTACTTCTCAAATAAATTTAAAAAAATTATTTTAAATAATGTGATGGCTGTAAGGATTTGGTACAGTGTTATGATGTCACTTAGGATGTCTGCCCTGCATCCCATGTGAGAGTGACTAGGTTTGAGTCCTGGCTCCACTTCTAATTCCAGCTTCCTGCAGTTGCATACCCTGGGAGACAGTAGGTGATGGTTCAAGTAGGTGTGTCCTTGACACCCATATGGAAGACCTGGATAGAGTTCCTGGCTTGCTGGTGTCTACCTAGCTCAGCCCCAGCTGTAAAGGACATTTAGAGAATGAATCCGTGCTCCCCATCATGCCGTCTCTCTGCCTTCTAAACATTTTAATAATTAATTAATGTAAAATATTTTTAAAATGTGATAATTTTTATTTTGAAGATAACAGCTCAATGCAAAAAGACTAGAAAAAAATAATGATTGTTTCTTGATGGATAGACCAAGACAGCTGTGTTTTCTTGAATACTTTCTGAATTTTCTATAATGAGTATTTATTACTTTTACAATAAGGAAAAGAAAGGTTTCCTTTTTTTTTTTAAACATACTGTTTGTAGCATGATTCCTTGATCAGCCCTACCTCTATAAAACCAGTTATTGTGTTTTATTCAACATTTGTGGAGTGTCTCCTCTTTGTCAATTATTTGGATAGGTGCTGGGAATAGAAAGTCCAATCCCATACGGTCCATGCCTAATCAGGTCACTGGGGAAAACAGCAAACAAATCATTGATCAGAGGTCAGTAGGAGAGAAGAAAATTGCTTCCACTTTCTGAGTTCTCAGCATTTAAGTAGTTTGTGTAACATGATTTTGCATTTGTTTTTGAAAAGTTTTATTTATTTATTTTTATTTGAAAGAGAGACTGAGACAGAGAGAGATTTTCTGTCTGGTGGTTCACTCCCCAGATGCCTGCAACAACCAAGGAAGCCAAGAGACTGAAACTTCATCTGGGTCTCCCATGTGGGTGGCAGGGACCCAAGTACTTTGCCATCACCTGCTGCCTCCCCCTATGATCTGCATTATCAGAAAGCTAGATAAGAAGCAGAGGAGCTGGGGTATAAATGAGGCATTCTGATGTGGGATGTGGGGTCCCAAGTAGCATCCTGT